AACTATCCATGTTTCTTGTTTGGCAAAGCACAGGTGTGTGTCAGCCTTATTTTCTAGCAGGGCAGCCTTGCCTCCCTCTAGCAATGACTAAACTGGATTTAAGCAGCATACACAACGTTCTGAGGTTTCAGGGCTGAGCCAGCTAATACTTTCTGTCATGCTGAACATACCATCCTTCTATAGAGATCAACCAGTCCCAGAGTTTGCCAGGAGGAACGTGAATCTCTCCTCTTCAGCCCACATATTTCCCCTCTGCTCCTGTAAGGTGTCAGACTTTCAGCCAAGGGAGCAGATTGCCTAAAGACTGCTGCATGCTCAGCACCCACAGGCAGAACCAGTTTATCGAGTACCTGGCCATGCTGTGAGTACACACAGATTTGTTCTTCCAAGAAGCTCCAGCCCTGAGGAGTACACTGAGTCAAGGCTGTGTTAGTGAGATTGTTTGAAATTTGCATCCAGGGAGGTGGTTTGCTTCTGCTCTATTTGTGTGCACTGACACTTCCAGCACTTGGCCTGTGGCCACATGTGCTAAGAGCTAGGGGACTATCAGACATGGCTGATTCACCTCACTTATGGGATGTACTGCCATTAATGGCCCAAGTAATGGAGGCAGTGCAAGCTATCTAGTTCTGAACACCCATCTGGGCAACCTGGGCACCATCACTGGCCTGAAGATTTGATCTATCATTTTGCACACAAGGACTGCATTTAGACACTTGGCTTTACCTGATTTCAGCTGTGCCATGGATAATACTGCAGCATCACAGCTCATCTCCAGACACTCTGAGCTTCTCCCTCTTAGCAGCTTTTCCGGCTCCCGGTCTTTAAAGCTGCTGCTTCTTTAATGATCACAGAATGGAAATGAAAATGTGAAAAACAACCCAGTAACAAAATCAGAACTATGTTTTGCATTATGGAGACTTTGTGAGATTTTCATTATTTACATGCTTTAAATAATTTAAAATTATTCCAAAGCAATCTGTATCTTCTATTGTCAGACTCATGCTAATTTAATAACCTGGATGGCTGTAATTTTCATTAATTACCTTATACTCTGAACACATTTTTAATAGAATTGACTATTTTTTCTTCCCTTACACTCTTACATCTATTACCAAGCAGGAATGCCAAGTTCACCCCTTGCAATACTATCAGGATTCAGCCCACTTAAGACAAAGTCCTCATCTTTTACCTATCTGACATCAACCTCTCTGTCCCCTCCACTCCGAGCATAAGCCAGCAGCTCTCCTTTTTAATGCTATGGAAGCACTTATCTCCAGCCAGAGCTGCCCCCTAGGGAAAGGCCGAGGCTGGAAAGTGGTCGTTCCAAATAGGGGACGATGTATTTTTGTGACTTACTTCTGTGTGGAGACTGCACTAGCTCAGAAGCTCCTGCTGGGGTACAGCCTGGTGGGTGAAGAGTGGCACAGGGGAGTTCAGACACTTGTCACGATTAGATCCATCACAACAGAAGTCAATCAGGGCTGTCAATTCAGCAGCTCTGAACAACATGAAGTTCACAGGCAAGACGTTTCTCCCCTCACAGCACTGTCTCACTGATTTTCAAAGTGGAACTGTGTCAGTTGCAGTGGAGACTTGGTTTTGTGCATAGTTAAAAAATGAATAATCACAAAACCAGTGCAGAGGATTTAAAGCCAAGCTCTCCCCATGAAAGTGGATAAGTGCTTTGTGGAAACAGACTACTTCAGCAGTCATGCTGCAAGCACTGAACATAGCTTGGATTGTGCCAGATAAATAACAGCATAATAGGATTTTTTCTTCTGAAGACACACATTCCCTGTGGCAACATCATAGTCTGTTACAGCAGCTGAGAATCAGGTTCCTCAGTGCTTCATGACTACATGTCCCCACAAAGAGCTAAACACTGACAGCAGAACTGAAATGAACCTATAGTCTTCCTGAAGCAATGCTTCTGCTACCTGCACAAGTGCCTGCCTTCAACAGGTACATTTTCTACTTCTAGGAGACACAGGACTTCTGAAAAAACATGAATGTTTGGAACAAGCCAACCAAACAACCAAGTACTCATTTTGCCACAGCACGTTCCCCATGCATCACCAATGCCACAAGATGCTCTCTCCCCTCTGCCATTTGTTTCTGGTCCCTTTGCAGGGGCTGCTCAGACATTTGCTGATCTGTGCCAAGTCTTTCAGCTTCATGCTGCTCTGTTTGTCTGTCAACAGACTTTTCAGCTGACTCTCTCTGAAAAAAAACGTGATTTCTTTTGGTATTAAATTTAAACCTTAACAACAGTGATTACTTCCTGGAACAGTGAGAATTCTCGCAGCCTTCCCACTCAACATGTCTGTGACTGATGAGAAAACAAATTACCTGTAGGAATACAAAGGCTGACATTTAACTGAGGCTGCCTATGCAAACCACATTCTCACAATTGCTAGATTCTGTTTTGTTTTTTTTGTTTCTTTTTAATGGGAACACCTCTGATTTAGAGAGGAGCATTTCAAAGGATGAAGACAAGCAGCCCTGTTTTTCTGTGTGATTACGTAGACACGACAACATGCTTATTACTTGCCAAATAACTGTAAAAGTGATGTTTAAGTGTATTCAGAAAGGCCTTGAAATTCTAAACAACAAAATGTGCTAGCATTTTAAATTCATCTTGATACTTTGTTATCCATCAGTTTGATTTCTACTGTAATTGCTGTGATTTTTTCCAGCCGTTTGCTCACTCTTTTTCCTTTCCTTCTATGCATCCTTTCCTTCTCAGGAGAGCAGCCATGCCCAGTCTGACAGCACTACTGCTGTCCTCCCCCCCAGAGCTGGGGGCTTATGATGCCGGAGAGCTTACCAGTGATTTCACAAAGAGGCAATCAGAACAAGCACATAACATGCCCAGAAAAGTAAATAAGCTGCGGGTTTCATTCACCCACTGACAAACAGGATATTTACTCTTCCAGAAGTGGTGCCCAGCGTTTTACAAACAATTCATTAACCTTCACAAAAGAGAAAGGAGGCCTGGCTGGTATGCTATGAAAACTCTTCATGAAGAGCGGTCGAGATCCAGACCAAGAATCCGTATCGCGGTGGGAATCGAACTCGCGAAGCTCGCTTGACCTTCCGGCCGCAGCTGCAGGGGTTCCCCCAGCAGGGGTCAGCGCCGGCCGGCTCAGCACGGCGGGCAGCGCGGCTTTCGGCCCGGCCCTGCGGCTCCCGGAACGAATCAGAGCTCATTTCTTCCACGCGAGGTCACGCAGAAATGCGCTTACATCGGACGAGAAAATAAGTAGCTGTTAGTTTGCTGGGAATGGAAAAAATAACAGTGGCAAAGATGTAATGCATTTCTGTATCAAAGATTCTGCTCTGCAAAAGTAGAAATACTACAAAATTCATCAAGCAAAGCAGTAGGATGGGCAGGGCTCTTTCTAAATGTGCTCAGTTCCAGCAGGATGTGGCCCTGCTGCTCAGAAAGGCGTGCTGCATAGGCCTGAGAACCTTCTTCAGTTCTTCTGTCAAAAGGATTTTTAACAGCTAACGTGAATTCTCACTGAAAGCACTCACTACCAAAAAAAAAAACGATATAAAAATGATAATGAGGTGGAAAAATCCCTACTAGACTGGGCTTTCAGATTTAAAAATGTTGAGAAATTCTCACATCTGTACCCTTGGTTCTGCTAACCAGAAAACATTAACAAACTGCAAAAAGTATCAATAAAGGAAGGCAACACCATCATTACAATTTCTTTCTTAGGAACAAAAGTATAAAAAGCAGTACCCAAATGTTCAAAGCAAAAAGCGCTCGTCCTTGCTCTTCATGAATCAGAACAAACCCTCTTAAGGTGGAGGGAGAGTCTGAAACAAAAGCCTCTTTCTCATCTCACAGAGGCAGCCTCCAGTTACCACCAACACGAATGACACCCATGGGCCCTGTTCTGCGAGGTTCTTTTTCTTGCGGTCTCACATGAATCACCACCGTGCGTACAGATTGGTTCCTGCAGGTGCAACACAGTATGAACGCTACCACACAAACACAGCCTCCATCTAAGAGGGGTGGACACAAGGTCGCGCATCGTTGTGTGCACCCAGGAAAACAAGAGAACCATCTGGTGCTCACAGCAGAGCAAACAGCTGCCACCTCCAGTCGCCACACCTCTACTCTCCCTTGTAAACCCACGCCTGTTCCTGCCTCAAACTGATGCAAATATTTAGCAACACACCTCACTGTATATTTGTTAAGCTCAACTTGATTATAAGGTAGAAATGTGGAGGGTTTTTTTGGTTGCTTTTCAATAACGTAGTGTTTGAACTCTAATCTGGGCTTTAATCTGTTTCAATACCAGATTCAAGACTTTATTTCCTAGATGTTTCTAATGAGACAATAAGGCTCATCTGGCATCCAGAAGACACACTCATAACAGGACATTTGGATGCCTTGTGTGGTCATTTACCTCATGGGCTGACTGACCTTGTCTTCACTGGAGATGTCTGCTGATCTAATGTCCCACACTTTAAACTATTTTGGTATATCTGTAAGACAAAACAAAAGTGCTCAAAGCAGTGCACAGCACTCTGAGAAGTTGATACAACAGCTATGTTTCAGGAGAGCTAATAAAGAACTTTTGTTGTAGGCTAAATCCAAAATAGTTTAGGATTAAGTTAGGATTAGCCAGGGGACAATCTGAAATCAATAAATTGTCCCACTGCTACTCCACCATGCACAGGTGGTGTTCTGAAACTTCCTCAAAAACAGTGCTTTTCTGTGCCAGGGACTTTTTTACCTTTATAATTTAACACGACTTACACAGATGTGAACATTCCCATGCTCATTCTTAACCCCATTTAAGGTATTTACCGGCTGCTAAACAAATTCAAGACAACAGATCTAAGTGCCTTAAATTGCTTATTGCAGAGATGACATCTTCTATGTGTAAATTTGTGAAGTCTATGAGATTCATCACTAAGGAGAAGCTTTACAGATGCTCATTTGCAAGTGGTCAATAATATGAACATGCAAGATTCAGTGCAAAGTTCAATTCAGAATTTTATTTATTAAAATACCTTTTCACATTCCCTTTAGTAGTAGATTTGTATGGACACTTGCTAGAATGAACATTTGTCAACAGAAGAGTGCTATACGGTCAGGTGATTGTGAAAGGTTTATGATACCAACAACATTTGCATAGGGAACAATAAATTAGAGATTTTAGCCAGTAGTTGGAGCTTGAAAATTTAAATTTGGAACGAGATTATGAAACTTTTTTTTATTATTTCTTGTTGGTTTTGCACCTCAGGTGCAATGGTTAAAGCAGTAACTATATATGTATGTACAAATCCATGCCCTCACTTTCACTATTTTCTAAGTGAGAACTTTCTTACCTGTGGCCCAGATCTTACAGTAATTGAATCTTCACTAGGAAAAGGGGAGCAATTGCAGGGTCAGAGACCAGCTAGTTAAAGGGTGAGGGACTGTACTTTTTGTTTTGCTTTTAAACTAATGCAACTGAGATAAATAAAGACTTGAGAGATTAGATCCAGGTCCAGAACCGGACACATGACAGTGGCTTATCATACCATAGAGAGAAGGGATAGGAATGAAGCTCTATACTGGACAAACCGGGCACAAATATAGCTTCAGATCTCTCTTAAATCAAAGGAATAAACATTGTACATACAGAACTTCCAGGTGCAAACTCACTGACCTGTGTATAGCATGTCCACTGACTCAAGATCTATATTTTGCATCTTCCAAAATAACCGTGATTGGCAATTATTCCTTGAAGAATCACCACAGTGAACTAAACAACAAGCATCAGAACTTTCAGAAGGAAAAAGCAGTTTAGCAAAGAATAAAGAATATTTGTGCCTCTTCTGGCAGAAGCACTTGGTAAAGTATTGAATCTCTTAACAGTTATTCAAGTTTTTAGAGAGCCCAGGTCTTGCTCTTTCATTAGGCTCTCATTGTAGTGTAGCATCCAAATGAGCCATAAATTAGCTGGCTCCAAGACTGGTAGCAGTCCAGCTGCTGCAGCACAGGGAGTTCAGCACAACATGCAAGATCATTTCAAAGAACATCCACATCTGGCCTGGCTGTGCTGAGCTATGTTCTGCCGTGGTACTATGTTACTGATAACCAAGTCAGCTAGTTTAAAGCAAGCTTAGATATTTCTGTATCTTACTAGCATCACAGTAGTTACTGCACTGTAGAAATGTACTTCCTCAGATGTAGTTTTTCCCTTTATTTCCTCAGAGTATGGCAAATTAGGGGCTAGAAAAGCAAAATTGTATTAGCAGAAGAAATTACAGATGGGAACCTAGGTCAGTGGTTTCCAGAGCCACTTTCCTATGAGAATTTTTATTTGCAATTTTTTCCATTATACATGTTAGGAACATCTCTATTGTTCCCTGAGGAAATAAACTTTGAAAAGAGCCTGGCAAACTGATAAGTGCTGCAGAGCTTTTGAAACAGTTGCAACATCTTCCATCTTGGCTTGTTTTCTTCTCCCAGCTGATTTTTTGAGATGGCTGTTCTAAGTAGCATCAGGATGCCCTTGTATTCTCTGTTGGCAACAAGACCAAAAAAAGAAAAAAAAAGGGTATGAGTATAAGCAGCCCCCTGTCTTCTCCAGTTATTTTTTGATTAATACAAAAACAGTAAATGTAACAGCATCTTCCTTAGAGCACGGTACAAAGAAATAATAAATGCAGTTCCCTGGGGAATTATTAGCATTATCTTCACCAGATAAAAAATAGAGATAAGACAGCAGGAGATTTTGGTTAACAAATACAGACTGGACTGCAATACTGTTGAGTAGCAATATCTGTAGTGGTGCATTTACGAAGAAAACCTGGATTCTTATGGTCTGAAAGTCCTTTACAGCAGATGTCCATTTACCACAATTAGGCTCCCCTCCAGAGCCTCACAAGAAAAAAAGCTTTCCCAAAAAGTGCTTGACTGTATCGACAGTGAGCAAGGCATTGGTAAGCTTTCTGACAGCATTCCTACTGCTTCAAGCTATTCAGAACACAGAAACCAGAACCACAAGAGGCAGGGTGCAGATGAGGAGTCCTAACCAAAGGGAAAGGTCAAGGAGATCCCAAATTTCATAGTTTTTACACTGCGTGACAGAAATAATTCTGTCCACTGAGGCTTCACAACCATCAGGTCTTTCCTGACATCTGTTGCCAAAGCAAGTCTTCCTCCTACAAATATCTGGTAGGAGAGTACGTGGTGGCCTCTAAGTTAATGATTTATTCTGTCAGCACTGAGGCGCCTAACTCCTTTTGTGGACTTACCCCCAGAGGATTTGCCCCATGAGTCAGAGGCAGGAATTCCTGGTTTATAATGCAGTGTTTATTTCAGAGTATCACCTTGTTTTTCATATCCTGACTGCCTGAAATGCCCCCCTAATTTTAAATGGACACATCCTTCATCCTCATTTCCCGTCTGGAGCTATTGTGCCATGTTACCATGCACACTTAAACATGCCGGGTCCCCCTTCAGAGCTGCCTATCTTGTGCTGGCACTGTGAAGCAGTTTCTTTACAAAATGCATTGGGAATAGCTTGAGTGAGATGAGAAAGTAACCGAAAACAATTTACTGCAAATAGATTTAAATTGTACAGGTTTCTATCTCAGAGGGTACGTTCTCAGGCTGTACAAATAGGTGGTTAAAAGTACGTTATGTTCTGACTGGGGCTGCCAGTCCTCATACACTCCTAGGACAGAATCAAACAAACAAACAAACACACAAACATCTAAGACACAATAGGGGAGGAGGAGATATGAAGTCAGAATGTACCAGTGAGGTAAATCTGACACAATACCAATTAGTATTTGGCGAAGTGGCTATCTCATTGTTAAGATATTTCCTTCAATATGTTTTCAGAAACTGGGACCGTTAAATAACTCAGAAAGATTGCCAGCTCTGATTTCAGGAAGGAAACCTCCTCCCAGTTCCTCTTTAAGTAATTCATTTCTTTTGCAAATACTTCCTATGGATGGCATTTAAGATACAAATTCTTGAAACAGAGGAGAAAGAGGGAAGTAACCCCCACCCCAAAAACTTTGGTCTCATTTCTAAATGTCCTACAAGTCCAAGACATTCAGGTTCAAGTTACCCGGAGCTTCAAAACCGGTGAGAACCTGTACTGCAATTCAGCCTTCACATAGTTCAAATAAAGCAGACTGAAGTGATTGCTTCTATCCTGTATCACCTTTCTTGACATAATACAGGCACTTGCAATGACTGTAACACAACATGTAGTAAGCAGTGCTAACTGCAATGTGAGCTCAAAGCAAAGTTGATGAAGTTCTATGCTACGTTATATTTATTTTGACAGAAACTACATAGGGACAAAGGGATGGGGGCAAGACCAGCACTTATTAAAATGATTTTCTTCATCCTCTTTTTTCCACAGCATTGTCTGTGACTACCGGAAGACCAGTGCAGAACTGAGTAAGCTAAGAGAGTTTATCAGAGGAGTGGAAGCCACATTGTTGACTTTAGAGTGAGAAGGACAGCAGGATCTGATGTTGAGTCTGCACCCTAATTACTGAAGAAAAACACTGCATGTCCTCCTGTCTCTGAAAGCACAGCTCGTAGCAAAACACTGCTGCCTGTTGTGCCTTTTGTGACCCTTCTGGAATACTATTACTGCTTAGAGAGAGTCAAATTCCGCAAGTTTTTTGACATGTCACTGTAATTAAGCAATTCATCTGACATTTCAGAAGCGATTAAGATGCCAGCTGACCAGGCTAGGGCCTGAAGGCCTCCCTTCTCTCACAAATGAGAGCAAAGCAAAAGCAACTTCACCTCATCCAAATACTTCATTTGGCTGTGAAGAGGTAGAACAGCTGGGGAGGAAGTTTAAGCCACTTGATCTCTTTATGAGGAGCATTTTCCTTTTCATGAGTAGGACCAACGATTCCTCATTTGGACCAAACCTCAGAATTATGTATTAAGTTAAAATGAGCTACAAAGGAGAGCAGTCGCAACAAAATAATGCCATAAAGGCCCTTAGTAGCTTCCTGCCTCTTTTCTACTCATCTGTGCTGCCTGGAAACTCCACAAAGAAATACATCTATCCAATCCTACTGCAGGTGATTCAGCTGGAGAATTAAAAGGCTGGTGGGATCTGTTTTTTGCCATGTCTTCTAAAACATTATTATATCAAAAAAGAAGTTACACATTAAGTATAGAGCAGTATCTTAAAAAGGGACATTTTCAAGGCTTGAATTGAGGAAGGCTGTTTCTGGGAAAACTCGCATAAGACATAGAAGCATTCTAAGCCGAATTTTCTAGGGGCTGTTTCTGAAAAGGAGATTGATTTTACAGAGAATTTGAGTTTATTGCTCTCCTGCTGTTAAAAGGAGTTTGTGCAGACAACACAGAGAAAGCACTGCCCTCAGCTGACACTTTTTTCCCTTGAATCTAATGTTACTTCACAGATTGCCCAGTTTAGCAAGTTTTAATAGCCCAATTAAAATTGAAGTGATATAAGTGGGTAGTCAGCATATTTTCCCTGAAGCAGATTCATACTTTTGTGGAGGGATTTTTTTTTCACTCAGATTTGGCCACAGGAACAGAAACCACAAAATATTTGTAAAAATTCAGCCTTTTCTCCAACATTCTTTATAAATGCTCCTCCCTGAGCTGACACCAGATATCTGTCACAGCCTATTGACTATTTTTCCTGCTGTGTAGGACTGGAACAAACTTTCTTCTGTGTAACTCCCCAAGGAATGCGTGGTATAACCCAGAGGAGTGCTCAGCCTGATCTATTTTTAGAAAATTGAGAGCAAAGAATAAAAAGAAACCTTTAAACTAAGAGAGACAATGATACTATAAACCCAACTGACCTGTTAACATGCGTCTGTTTACTGTAACACAACCTGTGACCTCCAGCACTCTGCCAGCATCTGTAAATAATACAATGGGTTGCTCTTATATCCCAGGGGGAGGTGAGCACTGATGGAGCCTTTCAAAACTCAAATGGATGCCGTAAGCTGACGTAGACTGTGCTATTGTGATTCTTATTTATGAGTTTCTCCCTTTCTTTTTTTTCTTTGTAAATTCCAAAGCCACAAAGTGGATGGCAGAATAAAAACACGCCTGCCTGGTTGGAGGTTGGATTAGACAGCTTACCTAACATTCAATAAAGTTCTCCTGAAATGTATGTCTCTGCATCAGGTTTCCTGAACGCTGAGGAGCAACTCATACAAGGCATTTATCCTTTTTTTTTTTTTTAAATATATTGTTTTTCACTGGTTTCCACATACAGCCTGACCAGTATGAGTATTTCTGAAGGGACTGCTATCCTGTAGAGGTCCTGACCAACAAATAAACAATTAAAACATATGCTTGAACACTATCTCTCTAGATACACAATAATTTCATTCCAACTTTCCCTATCTGTAATGTCTTACATAAAAATGCATACTTATGGAATGCCTGTTTTCCACAGAATCTACAAAACAAAGCACAGTGTATAAATTACAAAGTGGTACATTGTGGAGTGATCAGTTCTGTGTTTCAGCAGATAGGCTGCTCTGTTTAACAGCTTCTTTTGTTGGCCTTGCAGTGATGCAGAACTGTTACCTTCAACTAAGGTTCAAACTCTGGCTCTAGAAAATATTTGAGCTCTAGCTCATTCAAGTACATGGTTAGGACCAGACATCTCAAAACCATGTCCATCAGTATGTCTGATAGCTTTCTTGACAGTGGCTTAGAGCAGAAGTTTCTTCTGAGAGCACAAGCTGTCACTGGACAAAAAAGTTTTCCTTTCAGAGGCAAGTTCTCATGAGCACTGTATTTCCTCTTCCAGCTCCTTGCCAGGAAAATACTACATTGCAGAAACCTGATATAGGAAACAATTTTCAGAGCCAAATAAGATCACACAAAGATACCTGAAATTTGGTTAGTAAAAAGCTGCTTATTTCCAATGAAAACTTGGGAGCCAGTGGGCTCTTTACATTTAGGATAGTAAACTTTAAAATTAGATTTTACGTTTACTTTTTAGAGCAGATTCAGCTATTCAGAAGTTTCAGACAATGCCTTCAAATACTAGAACATGAACATTTTCCTGTCCTCTGGAAGTAAAACAATTGAGAGACATGAGGAAAATAAGTCCTTTTTCAGAGAAGGAATTTGAGTCTTACTGGAAGTGCTCTTTTGTATGGTTTGTTAAAATATTGCTCATCTTACAAAAGCAGATGCTCGGTCTTGAAGGTTGTTTTCTTGGAAAGTGTACAAAATTCAGCAGGGAGAAGTTGTGTTCAAAGTAAAGGGTTTGAGCTAGGACTCCGGGTTAATATTTTCAGTGCTTTTTCTATTGACATGGAATAGTCTCTTAATCTGTGCTTTTGAGTAAACATTTTTAAAATAGCAAATAATATAATCAATCCTCCTACAGGCAGAATGCTTGTTTAAAGTTTGAGAATTGTTCTGAAATGATTAAACAAGGACTGCAAGTAGACCTTTCTAAAGGTCTTCTAGAAACTCCTTTGGCAGCCAGCACAAGGAATGAAGTAACTGAATAAAGGCAAATCTAACTTTGCAAATTAAAATACTCATTTCTCTTTCTGTCTCCTTTATGATTACATTCACATAAATTTGTGTGCAGTTAGGCTCATGCTGTTTCTACAATCAGCACTTTTATTTCATTAGGACTATAATTTGTCTTCACTGAAAACAGCACTGTGAACACGGCGTGCAGTTAGGCTGCAAAAATGCAAAAAATGCAGAGAAACAGATTATTGCTTTAACTGCACACTGTCAATTTTCTTCAAAACAATTCTATCTACAATGTTCAGACTAACAAAAGTCCTAGAAGCTCAGGTGTCTGCAGCACATGAATTTAATTGCAGTATAAAACCCATCCCTACATTTTCAGTTGGTTTAATCAGAAACAAAAACTTACGTGAGAAACACAAGTTTTTTTGTGCCCTGAAAGCAGCCAAAGTGAACAAAAATGCTAATGATTTATGAAGCAAGGTATTAATGAGTTGCAGTTTAGGCCTCTGTGACAATGCATTGTGCCTGCAGGAAGGAGGAAATGAGGAATTTTGTGTAAATTCCAAACATCAAACAACGGGATGTTTGCTACTCCAAAGCTACCAGGTCACAATAACAGATATCTCGTCCTGTAACCTGTCACCTAGATTCAAAATAGTGTGGTTTTCTAGCTAAGGACCATATCTCTACCAGGAGAACATCACACGTCCTTTGGAAGTGCTGCTAGAGCGCCATGCGACTTCTACAAGGTGCTGATCAGGTATGTCAGTGCACATTCTCTAGAAGGGATATAATGTTCATGTTGATTCTTTTCTACACCAATCCTTTCACAATGTTATTTTTTCATTCCTGTTAAAAATACAAAGAGCATTTTACTTGAACCAATCTGGTCTGACTGTGATGAAAGAACAAAGTTCTTCCCCTACCTGTCTTCCCCTACTGCCAAAAACAGGAAAATAGAGATCAGCTGCATCCCATGCGGACAAACTGGTCAATTTTCCATAGCAGGGCAAACAAGGAGTTGTATATTTGTTAACAGAACCAGAAATAAACAAGCTGAAGATCCAGTTCTGGTGACATCCAGAACATTCCCAAGTACAGGTGCTTTTATGGATTTCTGATGGATTTAAGTTCTTGCTACTTTTTGTTTATGGATTTTAAAATTCAAATAACACATTCTTAGAAGGGGCACTCTAATGGCAGAACTTTAAGAGACTGTCATCCCCCATCTGCTCCCCTTTATTGCTAAATGCTATGGAAAAGAGATGATAGCTCTAAGCAGTTGCAATTTACAGACTATCTCAAGCCCACGTCCAACACTGTCAAGAGTTAAGATGCTACAGTATAAACAGAAGAAGCTGAATAGCAATCACATGCTACATTCTGCCAAGTCTTTCACTGGAGCATTAACTTCTAACACAGAACCTTGGCAGGCAGTTTGGGAATAGATCTTACACAGAAGCATGTGCACAATTGTGCTTTGCTTTTTAGGTTCGAGTAAGGTCAGAAGCTCCCTGCAAATTTCTGTCTTACTGAAACCATCTGGCTTTGCCTAATGTTTGGCTGAAGGTGTAGTTAGCACTTGGCTCTGAAATCACTGTCTCAGATGGAGGCTTTGGTCTAGAACATGTCTTGAAACCTAAAGAAACACAGTTTTATTTTGGAGAAAGGAAACACTACTTGCACAATCTCAGACTGCATGCAACCAGCAGATGCTCATAATGTCTGACTTTTGAATAACCACCATGAATCCTCTCACCCATGGGGTTTTCTCTATGCTGGAAAAGGCATTCAGTGGGAACTTCTAGCTGAACAGAGAGGTATTATGCTGGCGCCTCAGTAGCAGGAAAGAATTTTAGCAGATTTCCTGATTGCTGGAACTGATTTCTAATAGCTTGTTCCAAAGCACTCTGTGCAATGGAAATTTCTCATGTCTCTCCACTGGGATACAGTTATTTTTTCACTGTACTTTGTTAGTGGCAATAGGATTCTTAGAATTTCCTGTCTTGACACTGCAGTTGCATATAAGTGATCAATTCTTTCATCCAGATTTAGCAACATAAAGGTAGAGTCTGCATTTTGTTCACTAGGCTTCCACTTTCCTGATGAGAAGCTATGAACAGAGAGCAGTTATCTTGCAATAAGCTACTGAGAGTTCTGTGATCCACGTGCATGAAGATCAGTGCACAGACTATCAGTGGCTTTTGTGAGCTTTGGATCTGACGCAGAGCAAAGGCAGAGTTCACTGACAGAGCAAGAACATTATTAATTCAGAAGAGATCTGTGAAAAAGGGTGAGCCCGTCTTCTCAGCAAGGTGCTGAGAACTGTGCTGCCCCAAGAACTGGGATCAATGCTAAGGGAAGGGGAAAGCTGAGAGAAAGAACCAGCACAGAATGGCATGGACTTCCTGCCCCTACTGTCTCTTGGGAAGATGAAAGGTGTGATGAATGTAAATCATGCATCTAAAGAGCCTCCACCCTCCCAGCCGAGCTGAGTGTCTGACACATCCTGTCCCCTCCTTCAGGAACAGCATCAGCTGCCAGCCTGCTCCGCTGGGACTCAGCACAGGCAAAGCAGGCAGCAGGGCCACAGTCATTTTATCACTCTCGGCAGTCTGTTGACTTAGACAACTGTCTGTTTTGCTTATGTCTCAGACAATCTCTGTTCTGAACAAAAGGCAACGGCTCCGGGACTGGGCTGGATATTCCCCAGACTCCCAATATGCTTTGACCTCCTCACAGGGCAACCAGAGAAAGCAGCATTTTAAGGAAATTGGCTTATCCTGATAGATGCAAAGGACTCTTAGGCCAAAGTGCTACTGACCTGACTAGAACTAATTGTGAGCATTCACCACATTGCCATTTGGATATAGGATTTGATTTAAAACTGAGGCTTGAAGTTTTTTGTATTTACTGTAAAATACTAAATATGCAGCCTATCGCTCTAGAAAAAGTTCTACTTAAACCAACCTTTCATCAACAGTTCCAAGACAACTTCATCTGTCTGAGTTGCTTCCAAAGACAAAACTACTATGAAAAGCATCCTCCCTACACCTCTCGTTATCTCAAAGGAAATCTAGCATCCACTTAAGGAAACTGACATTCCTCTACCCACAGCACAGCTCCTTGACTTTCAGTCAAAATACACCTGACTAGGCTTTAATGTTACAAAAACTTGCTTTTCTTACTGTTACTGGGTTTAAGTACAGTTAACCCTACACAGATCTTTGATTTTGAATATGCATTTGATAGTTTGTTTCTGAGACTCATGTCCGTTTTTCAAGTAGCATCACCTCATGTCTGGCACGCAGAATGAGGAAAGCAGAGCAGCAGATAGGATAGGAAGTATTACCAGTGTATGATTCAGACACTGAAATGATAGTAACAGGAGATAACAGTCGATACTGGAAAAACAAAAAGAAAAAGAATAATGGCAAATGCTCAACACATCACAAAAGGCTTGGTGTTTGGGAAAGGTCAGATGGATTTAGGATAGGGACAAGCAATAGCTGTGGAACTCAAAATAAAAGAGAAGCTGGTTACTGACATGGCATCTGCCTTACAGGGGACAGCAGAGAGCACAGCCAGACAAATGAAGTGAAAAAATATTTTGGCTCAGTCAGAGAAAATTGCATCAGACATAACAACTACTGATCCTTCAGCTTCCTCTCTAGTGGACACGATATCTGAAAGGCACAGGCAACTCCTTGAAAAGACTGAATTGCTTTTGAAACACTCCATTCTGTTTTAATGACCCAAAACTACACAAGTAACCTACAAACTATAATAAAAATACATTTGTAGGTCTTAGATGTTATGCTGTCAAACAGCGTAGCTGACACCAACTCCCCAATTCATGTCATTTCCCCAGAGGTCAAGTTTGTCTGAACCATTAACTTCCTGAAGCAGACTGCACTGCCAGGCATTTGCCCAGAAACCTCCAAGAATAACTGAGACTAGTGAAGGTTATAAAGGCAAGCCACCTTCTGCAACCATTAGTAATAGTATCTTTCAGAATTAGCCATTAATATACTTGTATTAACACATCAAAATACTTATGAAAATTCATTTCCTCCACAGCATTTTTACTTTGCTACTTTGCAATCAAATTTGATCAAAAATTAAAATAAATGTTACCTTTCAGCAGACTGTAACAAAGCTACTGCACAGCCATGTGATGCACTGCTTATCTATTTCAAACACTTTTCCTGTGCATCAGTCAGGAAAAACAGACGTGATTAAAACAATAAACTGTTACTACGTTTCCAAGAATAACTGAAACTGTAGAACGTGGTGCATAAAAGAGCAGGTGGAGAGCAAAATTAAGGGGTGTTTGCTTGCTATTTGGCTAGTTTAGACCAGTCTTCCAATCAGATCTCATTTTACTGCAGTTCCCACCTTACAGCAGATACAGTTGTTATTAAGTGCTTTGAATTGCAGCTGTGCTGTACCATCTATTGAGTTAACACAGCAACTCATAAAACATCCTTTCAGTATAAAACATCTTGTTTTGTCAAAAATAGGAACGGTGAAGACATGATACTCAGCTTCACACTTGAGCAGAAAGCAATGGAGAGGTGATGCAGCCAGCTCCTGCAGCTCATTCCAAGCCCGACCTATACTCAATGGAAAAGTCTCCAGAGCATTAGTGAACCTGGGCCTGAAATCAGCTGTTTTCTCCTCATAATGCTGCCAGACAATCCTGCATTAAGTGTCCAAGCCTGTTCTTTGGTGCAAAGGATTATCTGCTTTCCACTGGAAAAAAATAAATCACTAGACCTTTGAGGCTCAGCACCAAGCCAGGAGTTTGGGATTCTGAAATCCAGTTCCCAGTGTTGTCACTATCTGAGTGCACTGCCTTAAACAAGTGAACTAATCTCACTGTTTATTCAGCTGTAAAATGAAGATAAAATTGACTTAAAAGGCATCACAAGGGAAAACCCAGTAATGTTTTGTAAACTACTTGGAGACCCTCAAGTGAAAAGTTCCCTAGAAACATAATACTGTGTTGGAGGAGGGTTGTAAATGCCTTATAAAATAGAGACACAGCAAACAAAACCAGAAAGATCGACATTTAAACGTGGCACACAACAAAACCAGTCAATAATATGGATGGGAAGAAAAAGTGAACAGTTCACAGCACTAAGATATGTAAATCTTGACAAAGAGAAAAAAATCTTTTCTGACTTATTTTTGGACAAACTATTAAGAATTAGTTTTCACTAATTGCCTCTGAATTCATTGCTGCCAGAACATTTATAGATAACAATTGATAGGATGCTGCTAATGCCCATCTATGCAATACAATGCCTGAAATCTTGCCACAGTAAGTAAGAAATGGGCAGAGGGGCTAGCAGATACAATCTGAGACATTTTTTTATCATGCTTAAAGCATTTGCTGTTGGAGAGGCATTTGAATCACAACACAAGATCCCAATTCCTTGCAGGGTAAGTTCAGCTCCACACTCTGACATGAGCCAAATCACTCAGTTAACACAGTGTTAATGGGCTGATGAAGCAGATGTTACAAATATCAATCTTACTGCATTGAGTATCATTGGTTTATATGAAAACATAATGTGTCACACAGTTTATCAACACCTGCGATTCCTTAGTTGCTATTTGGGGTGTGCCAGTGTGATTTGGATCAGACTTTACAGCATTTCTCTCAAAACTACACAGTCACAAATTTAACCCTAGTCTCTACACAAACACTTCCTTTATGTGTTTAATTTTTCACTAGCTTACTTACCATTATTAGCTTTTCTGATTTCACTATAAACTGTTTCAGTCCCCTTCTGTACAGGAGCTGGAAAATGTATTGGCACAGAATCAATTTCTTTTCTTTTTTATGTTTGCCTTATGAAAAGCTCCTTAAACAAACAGAACACACTGTTTTACCTTCAGAGGAAGTAGTTACATAAGCAGAAATTAACCTTGTGGATTCTGCACAAAATCCCCCTCCCCCAAAAGCCTATCAAGATCTGAGAAGGAAATGTATTTCTCTCTATATATAAAATAATAAATATGACCTTACCTTTTAAATTTTAACACTCTAATGATCTTCTCAAATTAGAAATTATTTAAATTTTGCAGAAACATCTAACATCAGAGAAGAGTTTCTCTAGATCATTTAGAAGGCTTCTTCTATTTGTTAGAAGGATGTAGGGATCCTAGACCTGAAGAGGTCTCTAATTCGAAGACTAACTGCAGCCCCATTTGGTAAGTGACTTGATTACATCTTACAGTCACTATAACAATTTAAATTGCTGCTCTTTGTGAAAGATCTCAGAAAAATTTCACAACCAGAGAGATTTGTGAGAGAATTGAGATCAGCAGATTTCACAGCGCACGGCCTCTATTTGGGTCCTAACCAGAAAGCATCTCCTTTCAGTTCCTCAGTGAGACACAACTCTCCCATTACTGAACTGAGATCAGGAGGAGTGAAGGCTGAGAAAGCCTGGGAAATGACAGAATACAACAAATACAGACAGAAGTTGAATGCCCCTAAGAACATCACTGGGATTTAAATGTAATGTTAGCCTTGGCCATCCATTTTTCAGGGTGCTGGGTTTACAAAAAGCTAAATGTCTACTTTTGTATAAGCTGGAAAGCAGAAAGCTCTTCCTTTTTCTCCTACTCAACAAATCAAATGTGATACCAAATAGCATAACTGTGGACAGTTACCCCAGTGAGGAAAGACCTTGGCCAAAGGCTTAAAAGCTGAAGAAGTCAGTTTCTCTACAGCCAGTATAAACACTGTTCTGGCAACTAGGAAATTAGAACAATTTCCTTGATTTCTTGCATGGTTCTAAAGTGAATAATGAAGCAAAATGCTCTTGAACGATGAATACAGAAAATGACTTTCATCGGTTGATATCAAATCCCATGCAGGTAGGGCCTACGAGCTTGTTGTTTGAGGATCTCAAGGCACTTTAAGAACATTGATTAATTTGGGTTGAACTAAGTCTCTTGGTAAACCTCTGAATTTCACCAATATCACTTCCAATGTCTCTGCATCATCACTAAAACAAAAAGTTAGGTTTTCCTATTTGAAGTAAAATAAATAGCTACAATGGCTGATCCTTGTTTTCAGGAAACTGGAAAGAGAAAGCAAATTTCTGGATACCAAATAACCTACACTAGCTATAGAAACATTTAAAGAATTCAGACATATTGATCCGCAGACAGACTAAGAATCAGAACAGCCACAGTTCTGCATTGTTCTGAAGAACCTCAGTGTTTCTGGCACCACATTCTAATTTTCTAAAGCTAAACTAATTTTTGTTAATTCTATTAAGTGTCCTTTAAATGCTGGGACCTACTGCAACAGAATTGAGCTGGAAAATGACTATTAATTTCAACAATAGTAGGAGTAGGCACTTTACCAAGTGCAAAATCACAGCTTTCACACTTGCTGCTTTGGCATGAACTTCCTTTGCAAAATAGTCTGGAGATCGTGAAGTGCATATCAGATGCTTCTGGACAATTGTTAAATTATCAATACAATTTCCAATATAGCAAGAAGAAATCTTTTCAGAATTTTAATGCAAGTTAGCTCCTTTTGTCTGGAACATACTTTTTTTCAGCAGACTACAATCCTAAACCTTATCCTGTTGTCTCTGTGGAAGACGTGGCAGGAGGTATTTCCTCAGCTTTCTTCTTTTTTTTTTAATCCATTTCATTAAATTTTTATATAATGCCACTGCCCATTTTGTTTTCTTTGCTAATCTTCCAGAAGTTGTCTCAACACTGAAATTATGTGCTGGGAGAAATGACTTGCATCATTTGACATTTTGTTCCCACCCTACAGATGACTAACCAACTACAAAAGAAAAAAAAAAGAAGGAACATGTTGTTACCCATGGTTAGTAGTTTCCCCCTTCTTACTTTATGGATATTTCCTGACCATGTTTTAGCACTGGCTTTGTGTTTGCTCATGTTAATAACAAAAGATCTGAATCATTTTGCCTATTTTTATATATATTTTTTTAAATACAACAATGCTTCGGTCCATCCCATAGTCTCCAAAAGCATTCATTTTCAATTTAATCATTCTTAAGAATTCTTTAAATATCAAATTAACAATCAGTTCCAACTGCCCCAAAGAACAGCTAGCCTGTGTAGCTCCAGCTACATGTTCCATATCTGAGGAAGCCTTTCACCTCCGCTTTAGAAAGTAGGCATTAGGTTATTCCTACATGGAAATTTCAAAGCAAAGCAGTGAAACTGCATCTACCAAGTTTACCGCCATCATTACCATTGTAATAAGCACTGCTTTTTGTTCATGGCAGAACCACTGTCCACACCAAGCTCTTGATTTGTTAAAAATTATTTCATAAATGATCAGCTACTACGGACAAGGCTGTAAAAAGAGGGTGAAGCCACTGCCTTAAAACACTGCATTCCTTTACTGTCAAAGACAAAACGTGCATCCTTCTACAATTCTGTAAACTTGTTCTGAGATGGTGTCCAGTTATCCCAAGTGACCCAAAGGCTATGGCCATGGCCAACATACTGCTGTACTTACTGCAGTATTCTTCACAACGAACAAAATATGATTCTACTGCTCCTATGATTAGTATTGCTATTTGCAACAGGGGCAGAAAGAACAAATACATAGGAATTTTCATTTAAACTGTCATGTGGTAGCATATCTTTACCATTCTACACCACTATACTGTGCAATAAGCATTCAAACGTTTGGAGCAATGAAGTATTTTAGCAGAAGTCGATTTACAACATATTCAGAATACAGGGAAAACTCTGTGATGAATGACACCAGCATGTCAGAAAATAGAAAATGAACAGGAAAATGGGCTGCTCCAGGAGAGACTTGCTGCCAAGCTCAAACAGTGAGCACTTTGCCCAAATGTCTGTATTCCTAATTAAACAAGTATGCTTTTGGTCTCTGAAATAAGAGATTGTTCCTTCCTACCAGGGAAAAGCAAATTTTCATTTCTTTCTCAGTCTGCTTCTCAAGTTAAAGCAAAGTGTAAATGTCTCTTTATTAACCTATCCTGTGGCTAAGCTCAAACAGCCTTCAATAAATTTTGGACTCTTTAACGCAATGACTCACAGTAGGCTGCACTGTTCTCAGAGCCACAGCTCCAGCTGGGAGCCCAGTTCTGCACAGACCTCATGTGAATTGGATGGGCAACTGAATGACAGAAATCCTTGAGGAAGAAGGGTTGCAACAAACAAGAATATGGTTGTCACAGCATCATCTAGATTAAGGAACACTATTGGTACAAAGCTGTCACACAGAACACAACCTGCTCTTACTTTTACAGATGTCAATGTCAGACCAGTGTCAGGGAGTAGCAACAAACACAGAGTTACTCCCAAAACGTAATAGTAGAGGCCAGACAGCTTATTTACCTCTATGGGGATCAAGCGTTGACACTTCAACTTCAGTGTACTCCACCTCAGCACTCTCAAGGTCAGGTCCTGCCCCAAAAATACCAAGAAGATGTTTCTTTGTAGCACTGCATGCTTCACTTGAGCTGTGGGCCTGATCCTGCTGCCACTGAAATTAATGGACATATCCTCATGGACTTTGATAGGTGCAGGATCAGGCCCTACTTATGGCAGATATGAGTGTAAAGAACTGCAAGCCTTACTCATCCCTAGGGCTGATTTCTATCTGAAAGGCAGTAGACCAAATCAAACCAGGTTTCTGAAACTGTGATGTCAGAACTGCACCTCACCTCTTACTTTCCACTTAACACCTTGAAAAGCATCACAACACAAATGGAGCAGGAAATTGAGATTTTCTCCTATTCCTGCTGCAGCTAGATGTCTTCTCTCTTCTCTTTCTCTCCCTGCCATTACAATTCCCTCCTTTTTCATGGCTGCCCCAGAGTGACATTTCCTATGCTCTGTTTTCCTCATGTTTAACTGTTACTTAAGTCCTTCAAGGCCTTCCTTGTCACCACTCATACTCTCAATTTCTGCCTGGCCAATAAGCAATTTCAGCACTTTCCCCCGTGCTGCTGTTTAAGCTCTCCATCTACAATGGCCACACATCCACGGTCTCAAAATGTTCCTCTGCCACAATGCCTACAAAAGGTCTGACAGTGATTAGACAGTTGATTTGCTAAATCTACTGGCTGAGCAGTACTGGCTTGCTGGACACAAAAGAGACAAGAAATAACTGTTTTTTTCTGCTCTCTTTTCCTTGAGATATAGAAGGATTTCTACTGGATTTCTGCAAAAGCTGGGAAGGCCCATTGCAGCAATCCAGACTGGAGTCATGTGGAAATGAAAATTTTTTGGAACAGAAAAATGGCAAAATATCAGAGCCTTCCAATAGTATGGTGATAGAAGAAGGAAAAAAAAAGCCAAACAAACAAACAAAAAGTGTTTAGGATGGAATGTTTGAATGACATGAAGACAGCAATGGTTCTGGTGGATCAATACAGCCCTAAGTTCCTACATTTCAACTGTTTGGGGTTTTTTTTGTTTTTTGCTTGTGAGTGTCTCTAGCTCTAATTTAACTTACTCAAGCCACAATGGGCTAAGTTCCACACAATGACCACAAACACCTTTTTCTCATTTGATGAAGAAAAGGCTATTGCCACACAAATACAGTAGAGGCAATGTTATTTTTAGAAGCATATGAATAAAAGGCTTCTACATCTGGTGGAGAGATCTGCAATAGCCTGGTTGGTCATTGTCACTTTATGCATAAGGAAAAACAATTATGTTTGGCAAAGAAAAGAGTCTTCTCCACTATCAGAGAAAAAGAGGAGAGACTAGATTTAACAAATGCCAATTGCTGCCGTAAGGAAACACTACAACTTTCAATTCTAACATAATTTTAAAATCTATTCTTCAAGTATGAAATTACCTTTATTTTCATCTGTTGATTTCATGTGATTTTCACCATCTTCAATGTAACCTGATCCTAAAATATTCAAGCAAAATTTGAGCCAACAAATATTTGTTCTATCCAATCAAATGAATGAGTTACACAACTGCAATTCCTCTCGTTATTGTCTTGTTTATTTACATGAGAAATTTCACTTTTAGATTCACATGTAAAAGACAGTCATGTAACACAGGTGGGAAAAGTACACCTTTTTAAATGATCAGCTGAAAAATCTCAAGGGCTAACTTTGCTCACAGCAGGCAGGTGCTCTAATTCACCCTGACTGAGACCCTGGAAAGTGACCAGTAATGACAAATTAACATTGCTGTATTGTGATCAGACTATGGAACCATGCTCCACAACTCAAATTTTCTCACTGAACTCATTTTCTTGCAGCTATGTAAAATGTATCAAAAAGAGAAAATAATTCTCTTTTTGCCATAGCTTTCCATCTGTAGTAGTTGCCTGGTAGATGTGCCTGAGCAGATTTGTAAACCAGTCCTTGTATAAGATTTGCTCATAAAAAGCCATGCAAAGACAAAATGATAGCAGACACTTAGTAGAATATTATCTTCTGGAATCTCAAGAAACAGTGCCCTGTCCAAACCACAGCCATGCAAGTCAAAAACTTTAAATAAATATTTATTTAGGCCCACAGCCTTACAACAAAATATCCTACCAGAATAGTAGTCTCCATCATTATGCTGTCTTGACAGTTTCTCACTTGTTGAGTTTGTAGCCAAGGCAGATCTGAAAAGCGAACGAATAAAAGCTGATGCAATTATCCAAAGCAGTCAATAAAAACAACACGACGACATGCGAAGATCAGTAATTGTCTATGCTGACTACCACACTTCCCTAACTATGGAAACTAATGGAAAATTTGCTTCTGTCTTTAAGAAAAGCACAAGCAAACTTTTAGGTCAAAAGTGGACACCCTTGCATTACTCTTCTTTAAGACTTCAAAAATTCTAATTCCATATCTACACGCATTCAAATATATGTCTCCTAGCTGGCCTTTTTCTATTTCTAGACTATTTCCAGACTATTTCCTCATCCTGTTGTTGTGTTAGCAGGTGGTACACAAAGCACAACCATCCATTGTTTGCAGGTGTGTGCTGTAATAAGCCACAAATGTATGGTGGAAGGCCTCCATCCTTTAAAAACAGAAATACTTCACCATGACCAAAAAGCAAGCTTTCTTACCGAGACATCTCCATGGACGGTCCTTTAGCTTGGCAAAAAGAAAGAATAAAAGCATCTATTAATACATAGCACAAGTAAAACAATTTAAAAATAAAAATAAAAACAAAAACACAGTTATTATCTGCCAAAGTCAGAGCAACTTCTCTCAGCAATCACAGAATGAATTACCTAGTGTCCTACATCCTGTTTATAATACAGCCCACTTAAATGTCTCTTCTGCAGAGAAGTTAAGCTCTCAAATCCAACATTTCAGCCTGGCCGATTTAAGCTGCCTGGAACATCCAGATACTCCATTTTTCCCTACAAATTTTGCAAAGTACTGCATGTCGTAGGATGTTCATTTAAAACTACATTTCTTTACTTTATGAAAGAACAAGATCTGAAAGATTATCTTAACAATAAAAGACAAATGCCTAAGTGAAATTATATTCATGCATGGGGAAAAGAAATTGAATAATCTTAACTTGGCCTTATGAGGACCAGAGAAGTATGACAACTACCCCAGAGCTGGGAGCCCGAATCAAATCATCGTAGCCCCATAATGGAGCCCCTCAGTTCCCATTTGCCTTTACACTGCAAGAGTCTCAATTCCAGGTCTGGAACTACATCAGAACTGTGTGATTCTGGTCAATCTCTACAAATATTTGCTCCACTAGTGTCTTTCCAGAATCTTAGTGAGATGTTCTCCCATTCTGCCTAAAATACCTGGAAAACTCAGCACACCTGCAGCTTAATTTGGGCCACCCACATTTTAAAGCGAATTTTTTAGTTTCTAAAATTGTATTTAGACATCTTCTGAAGCCTCATCCCTACAGATTCTTTGCTCCTGAAGCAAAGGCAATGTTTTAGCTGCCATACAGTAATCAACAAAGAAATAGAAGGGAATAATTACCGTTTTTCTTCTTACACCAAAACCACCACACGGCAAGAATCACCACTCCTGCGATAGGTATCAGGACAAATGCAGTAATTACTCCTTTCTGCCAAGATGCTAATATGACTGGAAATAAGAAAGGCATGTTTCAGAGAGTAGGTACAGTGACTGGTGATCATTACCAATTTCTGCAGTAAAGGGAGGTCTCATTTTACTATGAATTGGCCATCTTACATTCTAGTGAAGATCTTTAAGGAGAATTGCATGCAAAGATCACAAGGAGAATTGCATGCAAAGATCACAAGTGAGCCTTTCTCTTGTGGCAAACAAGTCTACAACAGCAGGTTGATTTTGCTTGCATATAACACCTTTGGCTTTTGTTAAGCTTTTGGATGTAGGTAAGACAATCTCTGTTTGGTCCTTCTGTCCTTCTGTTTAACTTCTATCAGTGGTGGATCAAGACAGACAGAAACACTTGGTAACCTCCACATACCTAATAACTTTTCAGATAACACAAGCTTTGCCTGCCACGATGGCAGAATGCACAGCTTATCACAAAGTTTAACTTACCATTGATGGTTATCGGATGGCTTTTCGCACTCACATTAGCTCGGTTAGAAGCAATGCAGTAATACGTCCCCGTGTCCTGCCTGCTCATCTCTTTCTTCTGCCATATGACTCTGTCTGCATGTTCACTTCTTTCAAATAAAAGAACGTCACGATCAGTTTTTCTAAAAATCCTGAAGAGGATTGGCCAAGATCCTTCTTTCACAGAGCAGAGAAAAGCAGTCTCACTGCCATCTTCCACTTCCCCATAAGGAACACTGCCCAAGCTGATGTTCCTGATCGGTACTACGAAGGAAGGCACAGATGAACCAAATATCAGTGCTATTAGAAATGAAATATTGTGTTGTAGGTATTCTTTCTTTAATGCCATTTTACTTAGCTAAAACAGAGATTGAAAGCACAGTATTAATCTTTCTCTGCCAGAACACATCCTCTAGAAAATACTTGTATACAGCCAGAGAGGCCATCATAAAGAAAAGAAGCAGGCACAGGAGGAAACTACATCCATTCCCACAGAAGTCAATCACCCTTTTTTCTTAAATTCCAGATTCCCATCGGGCCCCAAACTAGAAATGATTTAATTTGCAGAAATTACACAGCAGTTTGATGCTGTAAAAAATTATAGCTCTGTTTATGTAGCAGTGCTTTTATAGTTATGCCAAATTACACTGTTTTATACTAACAGTATGAGATATTTCTCGTAACTTTTAGTATACAATAGCGAACACTAGCAGATCAAGTTCTTCAAAAGCATCTTTAGAATTTAAACCTTACTGGACAAATACCTTCACCATTTTATATTGAATCTTCTCTCTAGTGTTAGCAAAGCATATCCTAGCAGACTTGATGAACGTGAGATGCATTCCCAGCTCTTTAGTCTAAGCAGACGTAAATACTGGAATTGGAGATTTTACTGGAGAACAGAGAGCATGCCCTTCAACTGTGCAGTGATCCAACTGACATGGAAGAGATGCAACGATGCAGGATGCATCTGTTCTACAGATCAACATCAAAAACCACATTTCTTCAGTAAACTCAGAGAGAATCCACCTGTTAACCTCCAGTTTTTCCTCTTTAATACCAAAACATTACAGTTTGCATTACAGCTGTAACACAAAACTGAAAACGTATTTATAGCACCAGGATCTGAATCAGGAACTACCATGTGAAGTCTTACTACATCTGCTCTGACAGCACCAAAAAAATGCATAGAAAGAGTACAATGGTTAAAATTCTACTAAAAGAAGATACTCTACCCTCTTAATGATTGGAAAAAACTCTCACTATCACACACACTTCTGATTTAAGAGTTATCATATCAGTCTCCTGCACTGCAGAACTGTTTTCTGCATAAAGCTTTTTCACATTTATCTTTTTCTTTCCCATATTTCAAATATCCCAGTGCCCCATTCAGCAGTGCAGTTCTGCTCTCTCACTCTTAACTGCTGCAAGTCAGTGAAATCACTGTACAGTAAGTTGAGCACAAAGGTAACTCCCAGGTAGAGCAGTCTTTGCTCACACACTGTACCTCCTATTTGCAGATATGGCATAATTACAGGCTGACTTTCAGATCTATTAAGCAACTGCAGCTCCTGGTGCAAGATTAATAAATCATTTATGCTTTACCAAGAAGACTAGTTGTATAATAAGATTTCAAGTCAGATTCATTCATTTATTTAAACTCAGCTGTAGTTAATTCAGAATATTACCAGGATTTTTATATTAGTGACGAGTAGCCTGTGATACAGATCTCCAACTAGTTTCAATTCAAATGATTTATAAACATTTTGCATCCACTTTGCTTGGTCTGTAATATGCTGCTTCAAAGAATCAAAAGATGGCATTAGGCAAGAAAAACTGAACAGACTTACCTATTACTGTGATGTTGAGAATCTTGCTAGTTTTCATACCACTGGAGTGATGATTTCTAGCACCACATTTGTATTGTCCTTTATCATTTTGTTTAATATCTTCGTCCAAGAAAAGAGCACATGTGTTATTAGTTACTATTTCTTTCTTAGCTTTATTTCCCTTGTAGAATGTGAATGTTATTGGTGGTGTTCCCATCATTAAACAACAGGTTAACTTCAGAGGTCTCCCCAGAACCACTTCTGGTAAACCACTGAAAACAGAAATACTTGGCATGGAAACTGGAGCTAAAATGGGAAAGAAAGAAAAAAAAATATTGCCAATTACATTGATGCTGACAAAGTTTCAGATCAAACTGTTGAGTGAAATTGCAGAATACTTTAAGCTCCAGCAAATGGTAATGAATGAGATTTTGTTTGGCATCCAGCAGAATCAAGAGAACAGGATAAAAGGGAAGACATGTTAGCCCGAACTCCTAGGGCCCACCCTGTAGAAGTCTGACTTGGTCAGCACAGCTCAAACCCCTCTACAGCTAAAGAATGCAAGCATGCCTCACAGAAACAAGCATTCAAAAACTGACAAATACCCTCTTAGTTCACGAATCAGAAACTGGTTTGTAAACAGATGAGCTTACAAATAAGTTTGAGTGATTTTCTTCCCCCAGCACTAGGTTCTAATGTTTGTATCAACTCACCATAAACTTGTATCATTACAGGCTTGCTCTCCTTGACTATTCTGTTCACTTCAGCTTTGCAGATATACGATCCAGTATCATTCACATTAGCTCTCGTTGTTAAGTTCCTAGAATTTCTCAACAGGATGTCTCCATTTGAATTCCTCCGTAAAATAGAGAAGCTAGCATTTTGAAAATCTTTAATGCTGCAACTCAAAGTTAATTCTTTATTTTCATCCAGCTTATTCGTAGAAGCAGTCAATACTGGCTTGGGGAATAACTCTGAAAATTAAAAAGAGAATCAGTTTGTTCAAATATAACATAAAAGAACACGACTGCGTATCCCAAAGTACACAGAACGAGGGATAAAGTAGAAGTTTACTATCAGGGAAAAAACAAACAAAACAAAACATCATGCTTTTGTAATATGATAGTACTTTCAAGGAAAACAGAAATGTAGCAATGACCTGGAGTCCACATCTCCTATGTGTTATTTGAAATTATTAGTAGCAGACAAAAATCAGAAGCCCAAACGTAAACAGCCTTTTAATTTGGAAAATTTACTTTTGAATCTGGACGTTACTTTTGCAAGCTACCAAATTTAAATATTGTTCCACTGAGTAAAATCTAAGATGAACAGAAGAGTTACCTGCCACAACAACATTCCGTGTGGCAATTTTAGACGCTTTCCCTTCCTCCACCTTACAGAGGTATTCACCGCTGTCCTCTAGAGTAGCTACTGCAGAATATTTCAGAGTTGTCTGATCTCGTACGCTGCTCAGTATTGTTTTATTCCTCAGAAGTATGATTTCAATGTCATGCATTTTGGCTACTACAGTCGAGCACTCAAATTGTATTTCTTTTCCTTCTGTAATGTTACTTGAGGGCTTGATGCGCAGAGTTGGCTTTATAAATGGTTCTGCAAGAGAGCATACATAAAATCACAATCCAACTTTTTAATTATGGAAAGCAAAGATATTTAAAAAGAAAAACTCAGAAACTTACCCTTGACTGTTATAAGTGTTCTGTTGCTGGGTTCTGAGGTTTCAAATTCAAATTTTACACTTCTCTTACCCAAACAGTCAAATTGCAAAATATTATCCCCTTCTTCAATGGGAAATTCTATAACAGAAAAATTCCTCTGTAGTTCATATTTAAGTTTTTCTTTAGGCTTTGAATTCATCTTCATCTTCCGGAAAATGAAATGCAATGGAGGCACTTCTTCTGGCAGCTCACAGCGTAACTTCACGACTTCACCCTCAAATACTTCTTTTTTCTCAGCAATCAGAATTGGTTTGGTCATTCCTTAGAGAAGAAAACAAGGCAAGAAATAGATCAGTGCATAATCCTAAATCAAACTCTGTCTTTAATGACTGCAGCAGCAATTTATGTTAGTGGGCAAAAGAAAATGGTTTGAAAGAACTCGCCTGGGGAATTTTTTAAAGCAGCACACCTGTGAACATTGGTGGTCCCCGTTTGCATAAGAGATAAAAAAACAAGATGGATATAACATTGACTATTAACATAGCCTCCATCTGACTCCAGATTTGGTGATGGTTATCACAAGGTGAAAATCTCTATTTCCAGCTTTTCCAGCAAGCTAGTCTCCCCTGTTATTGTATTTATGATCTGTAGGAACGAGCGTTCACAAATAACACGTTCTAGTCTAGGAGGTACAGCATGGGATGGTGATTCTGAAGGCACAAATTCCACTCCTGACTAATGCTGATCTGCCAGGAAACCTTGGGATAGAGATTTCATTTCTGTGCCTTAACATGAGGACCAAGTATGAAACTCTTGTAAAGCCCCACGACGACTACAGATTAAAAGTACTTTGCAAGATATCCTATTTAGCACTATTATTATTTACTCCCAGAGGCTGTTATCATTTTGTACCTTAGAAAACTGCCATGTTTGAAGGAATATTCACCTGTTACCCAAACATGTAGGGAATCACTGTATTTTATCTTTCCATCCGCTTCCACAGCACATTGGTAGTCTCCTGTATGTGAAGATCTAGCCATGGGTACTTCATATCGTGCGTCTCCTTTGCCTGATACATTCATGAACACAAGCTTGCCATCCTTAAAAATTGTAATATTATGCTGCAAGTTGAAATCGGTACTTTTGCTAATATCAGCACGGCATATAATTGACATAGGAGCTCCATTCTTCACTTTGACAGATGGCTGAACCTTGATGTGAACTGCATTGAAGGTAAAAACTTGATGGAAAACAAAAAGAAGTTATAGTTATTTTCAAATCATCCAACATAATACTGTCGTCTCAAGCTGCTACAATTCAATCAGTAAAATTAATTCAATGTATTCCAGCAGTATATGTTATAATTTTTGTAATCAGGTCTACAGATGTTAACAGTGGTAGCAGCATTTCCTTCCACTGCACAGAGGTACGTGAAGCCTCTACTGACCATCACAGTTCACAATGTTCATTTCCTCAGTCTTTTCCTTGTGGGACATAATGAATTAATGATTTGGCCAGGCTAAACTCTTTAAAAGACACTGAGAATATTGGGATAGACTTGCAGCTATTTCTTGGCTTTCCTTATTTCTCATGGTTTGTTGTCTCCAACTGCAATTGCTAAGAGATCTGAACAAAATTTTGCATGTATCCTTGTTTGAGTAAATGAAATAATACAGTGTAAGGCAGCTTAGAGCTGTATGAAACCCCAAGACAACCCATCCCTAAGCATATAACTGGAATCCTTGGATTTATTCCAGTATTTTTTAGTCTGAAAGTAAGGTCACATTATTCAACAAATTCCATTTAAACGCACTGCTCTGACTTGGGGTAATCTTAAACCTCTAGTTTAGATTAGTTTACTGGAATATAGTAGAAGATATCTGGGTTCAGGGTCTGCAAGCAAATATGTACGTGCCTGACTTGACACTATGGGCTGTCCTTAACATCACAGTCATTAAGTAATCTCAACAGAGAATCATAGGCAGAAGTACTGTCTCCATTTAATTTAGAATTTAAACTTGTCATCTTTGAAAAAAATATATACTGAATACAGCATATTTTGATTACAAACAAACATCAAAATAAAACAACAACCCCCCCCCGGCACACACACACAAAATCCACAATAGCTCATTCACTTAAGAAACTATAAATACATCACAACAAAATTTTATGACTATTAGAATCACAGTATAATTAATATTTTTATTCACACAGTTGGATTAGGAAATACAGAGAAAGAATTAAGAGTTACTTTATTTTCCCTTCCCTTAGAACTTACAGCTATGGATATATCTACTTTGTGCATGGTTTGCTTTAGAAATTAACTACTTCCTGCATCTGAAGAAGTCCCTACCATGCCCAGTCACCAGGTACTCATGAATGGACTGCACGACAACCAGGAGCAAACATTTCTCTACAGCAGTGGGAAAAAGGAAGGATGCAGAGCGTACGTGCTGCATTTCTTTCAGGATGCATGCTCTGTACTCTGCTCAGATACGCTCATGGGATATTTTGCAAGAAAAAGAGCAAAAGAGAGTGACCATAATTCATATTCTATTTATTTTTTTTAATCCTACCTCCTTCCTTGTAGGAATGAAAGAGCTTAAAAAACCAAACGTGCTAGTAATTAATTCTATTCTACGCCTCAGTCAAACAAATTGCTCTAGGAAAATTTCAACATATTTATTAAATATGATCAGTCTATATGTCTTTTAAACACTTTGCTAGGAAGCACCACCAAGTGGTATCTTGTACATAGGCAAATTTTGTAGAGCTGTAGGACAGCAAACCACACAAACTCTCATGTGTGCACACTAATAACTGAGAATTAAATTAAATTAAAAATTAAAAAAAAAAATTACTTCATTTAAATATGTACATGAGAAAATATATTTACCTACCTCTTTCCTGAGTGCAAATTTCTGAACCTGGAAAAAAAGTAAAAAAAAAATGTTCTTTTTAGTTCACGGATTGAGAAACAGCAACAGGAAACTGTATCAAATCACACCACCACACCAAAGCCACAGACAAGTCAGAAGAACAGGTACACATCCAGATACTCAGTTATCAAACTTACACTGCAAGAAAATCACCAGAAGAGCAAGATACATCTCGTTCCTGGAGAACAGACACTTATTTCCAAAATAAAGCAATATTCATCATCCGAGGTGATGCCACCAGATTCCCAAATCAGATTTGCTTTTTTTTGCTCTATGGTAATAGATAAAAATTTGCCATTAAAAATTGTAAGTTTTTGTAAATCTTCAGCAGAAACTGGCCAGGTCAAGTGATCGTTCCCATTACTGGAAATGGCAAACAATGAGAATCTATCTGCTGCTCACAGGCAGATTACGGCTCAGGAAGTGACTGGACTTTTCCTGAGGGCGCTACCAAATGCATTCGCTTTGTTTAATTTCTTAAGGTGTATTAAAAAAAAAATAACAAGGAGTTCCAGGGACATTTATCCTGTAGTTCCTGTCCATAGGGGTATTTTTAAGTCACAATTAACCATTTAGGAATACAAATTACATTCACTATTTGACTTTAGCAGACGTTCAGCAAACATTTCTCTTCACCCCGACTCTTGCAGAGAATACATGCACGGTTATTCATTTTTCTCCTTTCTCTTCACACCTAGGTCTGCCACCCCTGCTGTTTTAATGTGGAGTTCACAACAAATTCAAATCAGTTCATAATCCATAGCTACTGTTGGATTAGATTAGAATACTGACAGATGAACCTCTTCTACTACTGTCAAACATCAGAAACACAAACAGGCACAGGCTGTTACTTTGTGTTGTTGGGACAGTGCAAAACACAGTTAGAAACGCTGAACCCCAGAAGAAGAGAACGGGCTGAACTTTCATTCTCTCATTTCCCTGCAGAGATGTGAAGCAGCACTGGCACGAAAAAAAAAATAAGAAAAAAAAAAAGCAGAAATTGAACTGTGACCTCGGGAAAATATTCTACTTCAGCATTTTGCTCTCATTTTCTGTTGGTGTCAACGTCTGCCTGAGATACAGCAAGGAGCTGGTGTAAAATTCAGAACATCTGAATTATTGACCTTCTTAACAAAATAGTCTTTTTCTGATTACAGGGAAAGCCTAAGGAAAGTAAAAAGCCTGAAGACAAGTGCATCAATAGGCTGACTTGTGCCACGGAAGACTACTTGTGAAGGCAACTGGAATTTAATAATTATCCACAAACTCACAACCATGGCCAGTTTGTTGATGTTCAGATGGTGAAAGGGTGGGTGAACTGGGCGGAACGAGGACAGCAAGAAGAGTGCAGAGATCTGCCCTGTCCTTATCTCTGCTCTACCCTTCTATGTTGGTACCATGTATGTGCTTTTAATCTTAAATAATCTGGCACTGCAGAAATGGCAGATTTAAGCACTGATTTAATTTTTCCAAATAATATTTATTTTATAACTCTAAAGAAATTCATTGTTCAGCACCTTTCAGTTATTCATCAGCCAATACACAGCTATTACAGGGCTATTTCGCAAGGAGGGAGGAATGCAGAGTGGCACAGCATTCATAGCAGTTAATGACTAAGAAATAAGCTGGATAACTAGCAGTAGTATTTGTTCTGCTTACTCCAGGCTGTTTGAAACACACTGCCAACAAAGACTGGTGGTTTGGCTACTTCCCAAAAATGGTCTCCAGAGCCAGGTAAAGGAAAGGAGGAGGAGGACACAGAGCAGATGGAGAACAAAAGTTTGATAAATTTTGCTATTAATAACAAAAAAATAAAAATAAAAAGGAAAAAAAAAAAAGGAAAAAAAAAAAAAAAGGAAGGAAGGAGATTTCCCCCTTGCTCTGTAAAAGAATTCAGCATGACATAGAAAGCTCAGTAAAACCATAGCACTCTTTCCCACCAGGGGACAAAGTCACAAATGGGGAAAGAGAAATGGGAGCCAGTATTTGTCAGAGTGATCCAACATGACTGAGCTCAGAAGCAGGCCAGTTTCAGACTGAAGTGAAAGATCAGCTTTTAGGATCAGCAGTACAGCTTAACAATGCACAAATCCAAGGCTGTTCAGACGCCACAAATCAAGGATGTTCAGAAGACCTCTCAGTGTAATTAGACAGTCACATTCTTAATAAAACCTCAGCATTACCCTGGAGAGAAAAATCTAACAGCTATTGGCCAAAACCTGAGAGGTAAGCTCAACTGCAGAAATTTAACACAAAATATTACGGAACTTGAGAGAAAACCATTCCAAAGGGGGAAGAAGAGCTTAAGACCATCTTCCATTGTCAAACTGGAGATCATGTGGACATAAAGTATATAAACTTACATGTAGCTGTGCTCTGTACACTGTAATCTCTCAGGACATGTTCTTCTGAAATAAGTAAGAACAGAAAATTATTCAAGTATACACAACTTACAGAACTCTTTTCAGTCCCTTATTGTATTTGTGGGAAAAGAGGGACTGATAAAAAAAATGTAACGCACTTTCTGAATCAGACTGAAGAATTGCACACAGTTCCTTTGACAACTGGTGATTTTTATTAATTTAATCTAAAGGCCAGTAAATCAAACCCTTAAGTATTAAAGCTGCGCTTATCTGTGAATTCCTAATAGCTGTTTCTGCTGGTTGGGACCTTTGCTATTTGGTTAAATGTATCAATTCCTAAAAAGCTCTCACACCTGAACAGAGCTTTGCCTAAAATCCAAGTCAAAACCTATTTCCATAAGGATGAAATGCTGAATAAAAGCACAACACTGTGGGACCATTGAAGCTTGTTCCACATAATTTCAGCATGCTGAATCTACTTCAAAAGCAATGAATTTCTACAGAAGTGCATCACCAAACGTCTGAGATCCAAACCCATCTTTACTGATGTCAACACAAACTTCCAGTAACCAAATCAATAGTAGAAAAAGTAGCTCTGATTTCTAATTGCTGTTCCTGACACCGTGGTTCCTTACAGCTGTGAACTATTTCGCTCTATTAACACTTCCTGTCTCAACATGCTCAGAATAAAGGGAATTACAGTGAATGTCACTGTTTTCACACATCTAGTCAGCTCCCTGGGGAACTAGGAACAAATTGATTTTGTTCTGCATGTATTTTTAGGGTATATTGTCTTCTCTTGAGTGTGAGACATTTGTATCATTTGTCTTTTAATACTTTTAAAGTCTCCTTACATCTCCCAAGAGAAGAATAAATAATTTTAAAAATCGTGGATGTGGATATTTACAAAGAATGTTAAAGAAAGTGACTTCTTTTCAGAAATCTAGAAATTCTGTAGTTTATTTTAAAAATTGTTTAGCTGTAAATCTGTGCTTCTCAGCCCATTACATTTCATAACAGTGCCATCTACTGGGTGAGGCCCAGAAACTAAATCAAAGTACATTTTGTCTCCCTCCATGTTTTTGCAATTAAACCACTGTTTCCCTCTGAAGCTTTTCCCTTAATTACTGATATCCAACACCTCCTCCAAAGGGCAATATAAAGATATATGGAAAAGTAATTGCAGGAACCAGAAAGCTGGTAGCGAGGGAACATTGCTGAAGATTTCACATTGCAATGTTTCTTTTAAACACAACAGTAGCCTATTATTACTATTTGGATCAATTCTTCCTAACCAACCTGGTGTCATATTGAAAAGAAACCTAGCAATCCAAGTCTTGATTGCATTTCATGTAGCACACGCTGCCACGTGCTTTGGAAATTCATTCAGGAGAAAAAAAAAAGATACTCCTTCTTCCAGAGACGTGAGTTTCACTTGTTTATCTACAGTCCCTGGTAACACCTCCCCAGGATTCTCTTTTCCAGCAGCATGCATATGGTATATGTATGTATGTATATGGTGATTCCTAGCAAAGCCCTCTGCAGACATCTACAGTACCAGAAGCTCTTCCAGAGTGGAGAACCTCTCAGGATGAGAAACTACAACTGAGAACAACATTTATAATTCCACTGAAAGATGCAGATTTCCCTGGAAACCTACAATAATACTGATACAGCGTGAAGACTGCACAGCCTTCATACATAATGTTATATTATTTTTGTTCTCAAGTAAAAGTAGTCACATTATTTTATTTTTTTTTACTGGAAGCCTGTTTATTATTAACATAACCTAATCATTTCCATTTAGAACTTCATCTGAAGTCTCCTTTTCTAACCAACACATCATTACTGCCCCTAGTGATATCCTAGCAATCACAGCTTGGCTTTTACACAAACCTCATCAGTAAGGCCCAGCCACCACGTCCTGTCACAGTGCTTCAAAGATCTTACATAAAAAGTGACTGCATTTGCACTCTGCAAGGTGATTACAGGAGCTGAAAAGGAAACGTGTTTAGGGAGATGAAACAGGTAAGCACAGGGATCGGATAGTTAAATGGAAGGAAGTTCTTTCCCTTCCTCTTACATGTATAGTTGCAATGATTGGCATATGCCAAAAGAAATATGTTTGCTCCCATTTCAAGTCCTAAACCCAAATTTTAAGAGAAAATAAAACAAAACTCGTGAGGACACAGATGCACTGAACTATGGGACAGATTCCAGATGCCCTGACTGTATTTGGTGAGGGAAGCAACCAATCTCTCAGATGAAAGCTGTACGTGGGATGCCCCAGAGACACCCAAACTTCTTTCTTTGAAAGGGCACGGACAGATTGTCAATAACTGCTTTCCAATACAGACACACACCAAATGAAACTCCTCCTTTGGAAAAAAAGAGCAAAACCAAACTATTTCAGTCTGGAAAACACATCCCAAGTGCTGGGAGCTGGGCAAGGCAGCTGCCCACTGCCTCACCCACACACCCACTGCCCCCAAGAGAGAAGCATGCAACACCACACTGCCTCCTGTACACCTCTCCTTCTCCACCACCCTCCTGCGAGTGTCTTAAGGGCTGTGCTGCTGTTCTGGAATGAAGAACAGTTTGCCGCAACAGGAAAATGCACAAATGCTCCCAGTTCCTCTCTCGACATCTGCATTTCTACACATGCTTCCTGCCAGCTGCAAAATAAATATTTGCCTTGTGGTTAATTGTCATCATTTCCACATAAGAAATGCAAGCAGGGAGGAAGATTGACTTAAAGGAAATTAAATATTTTTTAAAAAAAAGAAGAAGAAGAAGGAAGTTGTGAGGAAATTTTTCAGTGCTGCAGCACACCAGGGTCATTGCCTCCAGAGATGGGAGAATCGATGAGAAATAAGACCAGACACACAGTAGCACTTTAAGACGTTAGCTGCATTTCTAGTTTCTTTTTCACATGGGCACGGCCTGGAGCTCTTCCAAAGGCATTGCCTATACATATACATGGACAGTATTACTGCTGAATACACCAGGAACAGAGAGCAGCAGAGCAACTGAGCACTGCTCTGCTGAATGTAAGCTCTGACCTGGAGATCTTAATAATTCAGAACTGCCTATGAGTTTATAACTAATATTTCCTAATGTCCAGATTCTCAGTTCTGACCACTGGGTCTCAAGCCCAAAAGGATATCAAAGAAAGAAGAATCAAAGGACAGACTCATGGAGAGGTAGAAACAATGGCTTTTTCCACTCATACTAATAGTACTGACCAAAACAAAACACTAGTTTATGCTATGGAACATTAGCTAAAGATTTACTGTGTCCAGAGGCACAGGATGATGAATTGTGAACACCTACTTGCTGAAAGTTTAAAGTAGAGCTTTGTATTAGTGATTAGATGATCAAATTAGTCATCAATCTGTTGTGCAGTGATATTAACCTCAAGTTTGTGATGAGATCTGTACCTTTTAGTGTGAGATCTTATTTCCTCATAGCTTAATATTTTAAATTTGGTCAAAATGTTTTCTTAATGGGCTGGTTCTCCAGGAATATTTCTTATTACCTTAAAACTCCCATGAATTAAGTACTATTTTTTTTGTCCTTTTTTTTTTTTTTAATATGGGAGCACTGATAAAAAATAGAAACCACATCCTCCCTTAGTCTCAGTCATATGCTACCAGAAGATCTCTTGCATTCTCTATAGCAAATGTGTGACTGTGAGATATGAATTGGTGATCTCCTTCTTCTGTAAGAGCAATACTAAAAAAAATTACAATTATTTTTCTACTACATGGAAGCACAGTTCTATTACACAGCTCTCAAACATGAAAAAGTTGATTACGTTAGTTACATCTTAGAACAACTCTACATTAACATCCAGTTATATTCCAAACCGCTCTTCCTTTCTCTTTTCTTCTTTTTCTTCTGTGCACAACTCTAAGATGACCATCATAGGCTGAACATAAATCTTCATGCAAATATCAACAGCAAAGATCAGTGATATTTCCATATTTAGGACTTCCTCAACTGCTAGAGCCACTCCTCTAAGATCCCTTTAGTGCAACTCCAACAGTTACTTCGTACCAGCTTCATTTTGGAAAAAAAAAATGTTTCTTTTCACACTTCTGCTGTTTTCTTACCGTAAGCCAAGGACACCCTTCACACATATTACAAATATTTCTAAATAAGAACCACCATTTCCTGTCTTAAAGTTTTCTCCTCTTCTTCCAGCTCAAATCTCTCAACAGATTCAGAATGCGACTGCAGACTGCAGAGGTAGGCTCTTTTTATTTTCAGTTTTGGGACATGGGCTGAAATCAACAAAAAATGGGGAAGGTATTTGAAGTGACAAGAGCCTTCATGTAAGATTAAATCTTTCGCCCCTGGCTGCACTGAGATGCTTTGCAAGCTTCTATACGAAGCTAACTTCATCTTTACTAATGTACACTTCTATGTACATTCAAAATTGCTTGAAGATATCGAGATGTCTTTCTCCCTCTAAAAGAGTTGGAATTTATCTTACACTGATTTATTACCAATTTATATGAAAAGACGAGGCAAGTTATTCTTAGATATGCATTAGTGTTATCTCATAAAAGCAGAACAAGTTGATACAAAATCAAAGCTCCAATTGCTTCTATTGAAAAGTCAAAAAAGTCACAGACAAAATACTGTTTTCACTTTTAGGTGCACATGCTACCTCTTTACTAGCTTATAAAACTACTTTCTCCTACAATCAACACCTTGTAATATTTCTCTTTTATTCTTTAACTATTTTAAATGTTGCTGTAGTTCAAAAGTTTTTCTTTGGTTCATCTAAATACATCTGTTGGCTTTGTGTGCGTGTGGCTCTCTTGTATATGAAAGCATGCATTGTTCGTCAAGTGTTTGGAGTTCCACATTGATAATGAAAAACACAAAGTTGTGGTGGAAGTAGGAAGTGTAGGAAAAAAAACGAACATCTATTTTAATAGAATTAAGTATAGCCTAAACGTCAGCATGCTTTGGGAATAACCTGGGGGTTTCGTGCAATGACAGGTGAACTCACACACAAGTTTCTTCTTTCCAGAGATCCTTTCCAACCCCAAGCTCACACCTCTTCATGGTACTTTGGAAGTAGTGATGAACCAGAACGTAAGCCTCTCTTGTCACTCAGACTCTGGATCTCCTCCTGTCAGATATACACTATTTAAACACAGTCAGAAGGTGTCTGCCTTAAATAAGACAGACTTGACTCCAGCTTTGTTTAACTTAACTATCAATTCTGCCAGCGATGTGGGTGAATACAAGTGCAAAGCTGAGAATGAAATCTCCAATGGTGAAAAATACAGCAGAAGTCTCAACTTCACACTTAAAGGTATGTCTTGCTGTATTAATTTTCAGCACATTTTATTTTACTGGATACAAGGAAGATTCAACCTGTTCAGGAACGGGTTGCCCAGAGAATGCCCCATCATTGGAAATGTTAAAAGCCAGGTTGGATGGGGCTTTGGCAAACCTGGTCTAGTAAAACCATCCCTCCTTAGTGATGGAGCTGAACTTAACTTCTGTGAACTGCTATCATTCCCTCAGGAGTCAGCAGTGTTGTTCTGGTATGCCCCACTGAATACTTCATCCATTATAGGCATCTCTTTTTCTCTAATGTTGCTGCTTAATTCAGAGTCTTGCTTTGAAGTTTGTCCTGTAATCAGCACTGAAATCTTTTCAGGTTCTTTTTGTTGCTGTTGTTTTTTTACAGAGCCAGTTTCCAAACCAGTGCTGAGCTCACCCAATTCTCAAGCAAAGGAAGGTCAAAACGTGACCTTGTCTTGTCTCTCAGAGAAAGGCTCTCTCCCTATCACATACACATTCTTCAAAGATAGACAGAGCATCCAAGCCCCGGTGAAGATGCAGAAGAGGGAAGCAGCAGTGATTTCCGTACTTATCAAATCCTCTAGTGACTTTGGAATGTATAAATGCAAAGCTGAAAATCGCCTTCGCAATAATACAAAATACAGCAACAGTTTCAATTTCACATTAGCAGGTATGCACGTAGCACACAGTGTACTACTGCCAATAAGCAGCCAAGGACAGAATACAGTACAAATGCAATCATTTAGCCAGAAACGTTATTCCTGCAATGTAATGCTCAAATTGTAATTATTTCAATAGTAATTCTAAAAACTGAGTTACTTTTAAATTAATGCAAAAGACAATAACATGCAGCCTAGATAGTAATAGTAATAGTAGAAGTGACTCTGAGGATGAGGGTAAAGGACTCACTTTTAGAAGAGATCCCTGGTCCACTCCGCTCTGCCTTGGGGCAATAACAGTTTCCCTTTTCTCTCTGATCTCTACGAAAGAGAGGGTCATTGACAGCAGCAGCCTCCCCTCCTTCAGCTGTGGTGGTTGTGTGCAATTTGCACTCTGGGTAGTTCTGTTAACCACAGCTAAACCAAAAGCTGAAAGAAATGCAAGGTTGTGATTTTAGCTGGCAGAAAAGACTTTGAATACAAAAGTGACATTTCCTTACATAATCACCTTTTTTTTTCTTTTTTTTTTTTCTTCCAGAGGAGAGAAGCAATTCTCAACCCCTGATCATTTCCCTTGGACTGATCTTACTACTGTTAGCAATAGGACTTGCTCTGGCAATTCCATTTTTCATAATCCCTTCATATAAAGCAAGTGAGTTATTTGAACATGTTTCATTTTCTGGAGGGGCTGGTTTCTGTCTTCAGTATATTGTAGTGTGCAAACACGTTACAAATTATGGTCTTGGCATTTTAGGAAGTTGTTAACTCTCCTTTTAACCAGCCTGCTGTAAAGACATTCAGTGTAAGACTTCTACCAACATTTTCAATGGCAGACATAAAATGAGGGAAGCAAAGAAATAGCTGAAACAAGACAAATACTGAAAAGAGATGGATGTTCTTTGTTCTTTGTAAAGAAAGTCTATTAAAAATGCCTCTGTTAAGGAAAGATGTTGTTTTCGTGATCAATAAGTATTCAAAAATAAAATGGAACTGCTAAACCACCTCTGAGACAAATTGATACATGCACAAGGTTGGCTTTTGTTTTGTTTTTTGCAGAAAAATTTACACCTCCTCGGTTCTCAACTGGCCATATTTCAACAGAGAAAGTAGAAGAGTCAGAAGACTACGTCACATACGCAGAGATTGGCAAGTTCACATCACTCTCCACATAGCCACAAAACTGAAATATGCAGGAGTTTGTACAAAGTGCAAGAATGCTCTTGTGCTGTGCACAGCTAGTATGGACCAATTCCTTTGCACACTGCAGAAACAGCAGAAGGGAACACCTGCTAAGTGAGCTATTAGTACTCCTACTGACCATGGCAGACACAACTCAGCATCCACCTATTGGGCAGTCTGCCATGCAGCCAAAACCACAACTGGTTAAATGCACTGAAATTCCATAAATAAAATGGAGAACTGCATTTGGTAACTTACAGTGAGGATAGAACAGCCATCACAGAGGAAAAGAAAACTAGAATAAGTAAACCTGAGGTGCAGTGGCCATTAATTAAGAACTGAAAACAGGCTACAAGCAAGCTGCAGCAAAACAAAACGTAGCTCCTGCAATCTGTTCAAAGTTCAGTCATTTGTAACTGTGTTAACCACTGTTCATCTTTAATCCAGAGCCAGTTCAACCAGAAGAAGAATATGTCAACCTCTCTGTTATAAGAAGAGATGAACAAGGTAAAAACCTTATTTTGTAGTGGTGGAATATCTGATGTGCACAACTGTGTTTGGGGTGAGGGGGAAGATTAGGGTTGGAACAGCAGAGAGTAAGGTGAATAGTAGCAGTTACATATTGAAACTGCTAACTTACCATGGGAAACATAAGAGTATAACTTCATCTAAGCTAAAGGGGGAAATATTCCACAGCTTAATTTTGGAACCATGCAGGAGATGTTATTAGCAACCAAGTTGCTGATGGTGTGTTAATTCTTCTGCTGTGTCTTTACTAAAAAAAAAAAAAATATATCAACATGAATTATTTTACTCTTTTCACAGAGAACAGAGCACGTGCTACAATCTATACAAAGGTCCTCATCAGAGATGGAGCACAAGGTAACATGGCCTGTGTGATAAACTAACTCTATTACACATTCATAAAGAATCTTTCAGTTCTCACATATTTATAAGTACCACCACATCTGCTCAGTGATGATGTTTAAATACTGATTGCCTGGCCAAAATTTACTTAACAGATCACATAATTGGTTGTCTACTACTAAGAAAAATCCTTAAGTAATACTATGGTTATAAAACAAAACATCTAACAGATGGATTGCAATTACAAAGAACAAATAGCAATCCTGTTAAATAAACAAGAGTTTCTTGTCATTTTTTATTTTTAATGGCCAAAAGCACAGTGGAGTCACTGTCAGGACAAGAGCGAATCTCCTGTGCATTTAACCTTTATTCCTGAAATAAGAACTGGATTGTATAAGAGCACAAATTAATCAAAAACTCTTTAGGCATTACTAGAAGTTATTTCAACTTTGTTGTCCTCCCAGGCTAGAAGATCCATATCTGACTTTTCTATCTGCTGTTACCCAGTGGTAACCATAGCAGTTTCTCAGTTCTCAGAGTGAAGTAAAACCAAAGAGAGAGAGTAAAACTGAAGACAAGAAAGACAATATGGTTAGCCCTGCTGCAGAGGGACAAGTCTGTCTCTCTCTTCTTTTCCAGGTAGCCTGGAAGACATTGATTTGACAGAAAGGTGATACATTATTAAGTTTTAGCAGAACTCTTTGCAAAATGGCTAAATCTGTGACCATTGAAATCATTTCAGGCACAGACACTTACAAAAGTTACTTTTATTAGATACAGTTAAGTTTATACATTTTTAGCCGATGCGATATACTTAGTTAAAAAGTCTTTCAACCTAGAAATGTGCATCATTTCCTTCATGGTAGTGTCTCTGCTTCTCAGCTGGACCACTCCATTCTCCAGAGTAGAATCACTTATCAAGACCATGAAGAGAACACTCATCTCATCATACCTGCAAAGAAAAGATCACATCCACGACTGCTTCTGATGTATGAAATCGCAGATAAATTACGTGTCATAACCTGAATGTATTTATTTTGGCTATGATGCACTAAGCTCAGTGCCAAGACACTCATTTTCTTATGAACATTCCTGAACATTCCTGACTACATTTCTTTAAATTATTACATTACTTTAGAGCATTAATTGTTATTTAATGACCTATTATAAGAGTATTTTTATAGAAGTGATTATTCTGTTATTTAATAGCCAGACTTTGAAGACTGTACATGAACCAATCATTATATCTGTTTTTCATGCATATTTTCTCTGTGGAAAAGAAATTATTCATCAATATGCTCATGATCAATGGGTACGAGCTCAAAATGTACTGCTGATACACAAATCATGTAGGAAGAGTTCAACTGGAATACTGGTTTTTATTTGCTGAAATAACTCCTGCACATACATCATTTAGGCTTGAGGAACTTTTAAGTTCAGAACTGGGCACAGCGTGCCAGCTGAAGCAGTACTTAAGAATAGAACACAGAACTGGCCCAGATGCAAAAAAAGAGGAAGACAGTTTTGCAAGTTTATGACTCGTCTTAAGAAATTTACTTTCATAGGAGAGTCTCTAACAGAGATCTCACAATTCAAACAACAACCCTGGAAAAAGTGTGGAAGGCTAATGTTTCATTCAATTCTTAAAATGAACAGGCATTGCTCCTTCTAATAAAAATCAATAGAATCTGAGTTTATAGACCATATGCCTTTATTTGTGTGGTTATTGCACTCAATAACTTCTTGCTGAAAAAAGCACATTTTTGCTAGTTCACAGAAAATCACCCTTTCCCTTTGTACATTAACTTACTAAAAACGTTTCTCCTTACTTTGTGTAAAGCTGCTCCAGAGATAGCTGTGTGGTTTCAAGATAACCCGGCCACACAGCAATTCTATTTTCTGATAGCTCATTGAACAATCCTTGACAAACCTGTATTTATTTAAGAAAAAAAGTAAAAAGAACCATTTTGAGAATCTAGAAACAAATCGAACTCTGTTGCTTGCAATTTTAGCATTCCTAGTTGGTGTTAATTTACTGGCTGAAGTGATCTCATTGTGTTTAGCTGTTTAGCAATTAAATCTCAATTTTTATTTAAAAAACACATCAGCCTAAGTTTCTTCCCTTCTGTGGCAACTGGCTTAATGACTGACTTAAGGAAAAAAAACAAAAAACCTTAAAGTCTGAAGATAAAATCCATGAGTGAAGATAACTATGAAAGATTAAGAACCCGAGAGGGATTTTGTTATTTATTTTACCTATTTTTTTTTTCATGAAACAAATTCAAACTTCCTAACAGTACTACAGCAGTGTGCTAAAGCAAAGACGGCATCTGCTTCCTCACTGTACTTCTTCAGCCATGACTCACGAGCTCATTGTGGAGGAAGCATTATGAAATATGTGCAAACGTGAATCTCAGGATTGAAATAGCAGCACTTTCACCAACATAAACAGTGCCTGACTTTCAGTTGAAAGTCACTTGGGAAGTTAACACTATATATTAACACGTGTTCTCACAACATACCTGTCGCAGCTCTGTTGTTGGGCCCTTCCCTACATCCAAAGCCACTTTGATAGGTGTTAAACAAGGGTGAAGTTTAAGTACCTAATAATGTCACAAAAAGCAAGAGATTACTGAATATGGCCAGTATGAACATTGAGACAGAACTACAGAATATAATGCAGTCATTTGAAGATTTTTCATTGAGATGAAGCAGCTTCGCTACTAAAGGTTCTAAACACAAGGAATTTTTCTTACAGCTCAAAATCCTGAACTAGAAAAAAGCAAGCCATATTTCTGATACTCGATATATATGCCAGCTAGGTAATCAGAATGTAAGTTACCATTCTGTTTGAGTCCCAGAAGAGGAGAGATGAAGATTAGTTAGCAGAGCTTTAGTGGGACTAAGGAGATCAAAGAGACAGCCCACTAGGCAGTTACTATCCAGCCTACTGCTTATTCTTAAAGACAAACGCCTGTTTGATTAGCAAGCAGTGTGAATGCTAGCACTGTAACTCTAGAAAACCTCAGTAAAAGTAGGATTCATGATGGTCACTGAGGGAAAATGCCTCACTGCTACCTGTAACCCAGCTTTTCTGCTCTTGAAAACCCCCAAAGTCTGCTAGAAGAGACAATTTTCCCCAGCATTTTCTCTCCCTCTCAAAGCAACTACATTCCAATTCCTCCCAATGACACCACTTACATGGCAAAAGCATACTAATCACTGGAGAGAAGGTATGAAAGGAAAAGTGATCTCTGAATGAGAGAAAAACTGTTTATGTGGGTAAAAAGGACTACAGAAGTAGCCCCGTGAGCCCAGTCTATTGCTAGTACTGAAAACGGTTCTGCCTGCATCCTTTGGGGAAGGGAACAGAAATATGGAAAAAAGAGATGACTGAATTTATTACTTTCTCTATGAATTATTAGGTTTGTACTCAACACAATGCTTTCAGACAACAAAAGCACTTTGCTGCTTGCTTTCACAGGCACACTGATCTCTGTTGACCTAGGATGTGATTTTTGGCATTCAGGCCCAGCACTTAAGCACATCCCTTCCCTCCATCATCCATTCTCCCTTTCACTAGTTACCTTTCTCTGCGAATTTTTCTTTGTTGTCAGAGGATTCTCAGCCAGCTGGAGAGAATCAAAGAGATAAGCTAATGCTCCTTGGTCCAGATTTCCACTCACAGACAGAACATGAGGAAGAACATTCTTCCTTCCATCCCGGCCCTGATGAGGAAAAAAATAAATTACAAAAGCCACCAACCAACCGTGATGGGGTGGACACCTGAAAGACTGCTGCAGAGGGCCTTTTATTTGTTTTAAATGTATAAGGAGGCAGTGAACTCAAGCACCCTTCATATATTCAGACCTATCTTACAATCAGCTGCATTTTAAAATTACTGGCAATCTTAATGTGTAACAGTGACTCAATTAGTTTGTAACAAAGAGAAGAACAATACAGCTCACTGTTACTTTCAAAGAATTATCTCCATGCATAAACAACGCAGCATCTCTATTTTATAACATCTGCCAATGAAGGTCTGATAGCAGCATATCAACTATACTGATTTTACCAGAAAAGAAAAAGAAACAGTCAATAAATAATTGGATCAGCAAATAAAACGTTTCTCTCATCTTTATTATAAAAGATTCTCCATACAGTAAGGTAACACTTACCAGCAATTTTGATCTGTCTCCTGGATACATCTGTAGCAGTTCAGTGTCACCAAGGTTTTTCAATGTTTCTATTGTTTCCTTCCCCCAAGGAAAGTCATAATACAAATTAAATCCCCGCCTTCCTTCTTCATCCTGGAAGTCACTGCTGCTGAAGTTGGATGGGCCCACTGCAAACTGAAAATCAAAGATATAAGAGGTGTTCCACTATTGTGAATGCTATATTAACTACAAAAGCCACATCTATGATGCCTACAGAAGCTTATGGTTCACAGCAATTTTATCATTTTTTTTTTCTTTTCATAAATTAAAACCCAAATCACTTCAATTGTTTCACAATGCTTTTATCTCTAAACCTTTACCTTTCTGCAAGTGTACCACAAACCACTTCATGGCTTTGTCATGATCTTAAGTAATTTTTCGGTTTCTTGGAAGGAATTTATGTACTTATTTATTTATTTCAGTTACAAGAATTGGCAACGCATCAAAAAATCTATCAGGGTGCTTATTTCCCCTCTCCGTGAAAAACAAAGGAGCAGGTCAAGATTGCCCATATTACACCACTGTTACCTTTCTCCACCATTGCAGTCTCTGACGTAACCAATAATCAAGCCACTGTCCTGCAGTTCTGGGAGAGCTAAACCACGTAAGTAACGATGTAGTCCTTTCGCCTATTCTTTAAACAATAGCAAGGTCAGCAAGTTAACTCCTTCAGAAACAACAGGAAAGAAGCAAGAAACAGTTTTCAAGAGTAATCCAAGTTGAAACAACTATGCATACTTGTTTAGGTATGAAGAGAGATTTATCACTCTTTATTAGTCTACCTTCTAAGCTTTTCGTTGTGTTGCTCACTTCCTGGAATGGAGTGAAAACATACTCCAACTTCAGCAAGGCCACAGGGCAGTCTCTTGTTCACAAGTTCTAAGCAGCTAACATACTGTGCCAAAGCACCTGCCAGAAGACAGACAAGTAATTGCAGCAGCCACAAGGTATTTTATAGTAGGAACGAATACAGTGCATTAGCATATCCACAAGAAGGTAGTAACGATGATTTAAGACCCCATTGCTACATACTGCTTATACTTATAGCATTATATTTTGTGTTCTGCGGACATGAGCTCAGCAGCTCACAGCCCGTACCTGCGGGCACTGTGATTTCAGCATCCTACGCCTTCATTGCAGGGCAAAGCGTAAAGCGCACACAGACGCTGTGCTGCCCGGCTTCCCGAGTACAGATGGCAGCAATGAAACCCTCCCAGCGCGCTGCCACAACCGGAGAACGAGTTCCCCTGAAGGCAGCTGCGAACGGCGCGGGCTGCCCGAGCCCTGCGGAGCGCCGCCGTGCCGCCGTTCGTACCGGGCAGGAGGCTCTCACGAAGCGCTCCGGCGCTGCCCAGCGCTTCTTGCAGAGCCGCACCGCCGGGCTCCCGGCCGCAGCCCCCGCTCTGGAGAATTTCGCGCAGAGTTTCCGAGTGCAGCAGCCGCGGAGCGCCCTGAGCCTGCGGGGAGCCGGCGGAGGGACGGCCGTGCACCGGGGAATCCACCGCCAACACCTGCTCTCTGCGGGCCAGCACCGCGTCCCACCACTGTGCCGCCAGGTTGCCCCGCAGCGCCACGCCCAGCGGCCCGAAGCGGAGCTGCGCGCTCCGGGCCCGAAGCTCCGGATCGCCCCGCAAGAAGTGCCGCCTCCGGCACACCTCCAGCAGCAGCTCCTCCTGCCCACTCGCCGCCTCGCCGCCGGCCGCCGCATAGGGCCGTACCGGAGGCCCGGCCTCCGATTCCCGGGCGGCCACTGGCCGCCGCCTCAGGGGACCCGGGCCGCACATACGGCATCCTTGGCGGCAGCCCAGCGCCATCTTGCCCACCGCCCTCACGGCTGAGGAGGGGAGCGCTGCGAGCACCGCGCACGCGCCACCTGCCGCGCGCGCAGGAAACGGGACCGGCGCGCGGCCCCGCACGAGGCCGAGGGGACATGGCGGATGCGCATGCGCGCCGCCTCGCGGCCTTCGCCCGCTCCGGGTGTGTGGGGCCCCGCCCTGCGGCTGCACTCCGCCTTCACGGAATCACAGAATGGCCCGGGTTGGAAGGGGTCTCAAGGATCGCGAATTTTCAACCCCCTGCCACAGGCAGAGCCACCAACTTCCCCATTTCATACCAGCCCAGGGCCCCAACCAGTCTCGCCTTGAACACCTCCAGGGATGCACGGGGCATCCACAGCTCTGGGCAGCTGTTCCAGCACCTCACCGCTCATAGTAAAGAACTGCCCTCGCTGCCCGTCACCCACGGGAGGTTACGGTGAGACAGGGGAGCCCCGCGCTCGGCTGTCGTGCCCACGGGGCTCCCTAGAGCAAAGGCTTTGTAAAGGAAGAAATCGTAACGCTTAACGCAGATCTCAGAGCGGCTGCACCGCGCTCCGCGTGCCGTGCAGCAATACACGGCGTCCCGCCGAGGGTTAACGCTGCAGAGGAAATCAACGTTCCGCAGGACGGCAGCTCTCGGGGAGCAGCCAGCAGCTCGGCCGCGCTGCAGCAGTGGAAAATTCCACACGCGCTTAATCACAGCTTTGTACCGCTGCCAGAGGGCGGAGCCGAACGAGCAGATAGCGCTGCGAGGCGGCGGCAGCGAAGGGCGCGCGGATGTTACGGTTCGGCGAGGCGGTAGCAGCGCGGCTTGAATGCAGCCAGGCCCACGGGGCTGAGCGGGGAGCAGCGTTAGTAGGGCAGAGGAGAAGAACGCCATTTAGAGCCTGCTAGCCCGAGCCAGGGCTGGTTTCACTCATTGCAAAGCCCCAAGTCCGTTTCTGTTACTGAGAACGAGGAAAGCTTTAAGTGCAAATGCTGAGGATCTGTGCCTTTAACAGCAAAAATAAACCTCCTCGGACATTCAGGCTTAGTAACTCACACTCAGGAGCAGGATGAAAGTTAGGAAGGGACAGGGTTGCATTATTCCACTTCTATCAGAGTACACAGAGGTGCACAAGGAATCTCCATCCTTAAAAATCTGTACTGTCAGTACACCTCAGGACTACATTACACTGTGCCTAGGAGCCAGCTGGGCTGCATATTAACAAAGGTTTGGTGCTACTCCCTGTCCGAAGGGTGGGGGGGAAGAAAATTTATAGCACAGTTCAGAGTACTACAAAGCGACAGAATTTCATAGGAAGAAAAAAAATATTAAGAAAGGATTACACTGTAGTTAGTAATAGCACAAGTTGAGGCTTGGGAGAACAAATTACAATAGCAAAGCAAGCTGAGGAAAACAGAACTGAAGTCCAAGAGGCTTGAAATCAGTGACTCAGATTCAAAATAACCTGGACAAAATCTTACTTGGATTCTTAAAGCAGTACAGTTAAACACTTTTGCATTTAAAAACTGGTTATTGGTAAGAGCGGGAACTGAAGATGAGCGTTAAATTTCAGGCTACTGTTCTTGAAAGCATTTAGTAACAACCCCAGAATCAAGTGTTCTTGCTTGACAGCAGCTATGCTCCCAATCAAGGAAGCACTTCAGAACATTCCTTTGCTGAGCACAGAGGTGTTAGCTGTGTGAAATAGCTGTGTAGTGAATGTACAAATGCTGGAAAAAAAAAAATGCATACATGCGTTCACTTCCCTCCTCCCACTTCCGCAAAGAAATCACTGCTCAATACGAGTTTAAGTATAATTTGAAGGTTTAATACTAAAGATCTTCCCATTTCTCTGAAGCTCATAGTAAGCCTGCATGCTAACTCACAAGGCCTGACAGCTGTAGACACATTACACTCAAGCCTAGTCTGCACATATGCAACAGTTATGGTGCTGCAAAAAAGCTTCCTACACTTGTAGCAGAAGCTCATTAGCAACACCACTTCAGCAGAGCTTTGGTTAGCAAGATTTTCAGCTATACCATTACTCCAATGAATCTTTACCAAAATAAAAAAAAAAAAACAAAACAAAACAAACTGGCCCTATGCTAACCAGACAAGGAAGAAGACCATTTCCAACTGCTATTTAGACACCAGCTTTTGTTTTCTTCCCCACCAAATAGAGCCTGCCATGCTAAGCAATCTAGCCCAATCAAGGCAAGGCTGTTTTCTTTTAATATAAGCTTAAATGTTTAATCAGACACAGTTGAGAAACCTTTCTAGAATATAAAAACATTTGACATTCCATTAGTGTAAAGTTGTGCACATGTTGAGAAAATTGCCATCTGAAAGAAAATTCGGTCTTCAAATATCTTTATTGGAAGGCCATGCACTGCCTTCTGTTACTGTATTTCAAATCACTGTACATTTACTTTGAAAACACTGTCTGCATTTTCTAGTACAAAAAACTAAAAATTGTTTCAGGAATGTAGAGAAATATTCAACTTAAATAGCGAAAAAGTGCACCATAATTACTGCTGCACTGCAGTCATTTCTGCGTTTCCCATTTCTTTAAATAACTATCCTGTTCTGAGATAACACACAATATAAAGAGCAATTATGAAAAACTGAGACATTTAAATACACTAAGTTATTGAGAATAACTCGCTGGCATTGGGTAACCTATCATAGGAGCAGCACCAGTGGCAGGATATGCATACTGCTGTTGGTTCATGCCATTGTGCATATTTGCAATGTTACTTCCATACTGCTGATCATAGCCATTCTGGTAAGCTCCTGCAGGGTTACCAGCCCTGAAGCCAGCTTGCATGCCTGCAGCTGCAAAGCCATTTCCAAAAGGAGTTCCATTACTGAAACTCTGGGTACTGTAGGCCCCATTTTGAGCTTTGGCTCCAAAGTCTCTCTTCCCTAGTGCACCATAAGTTCTCTCAAAGTTCTCCCTCTCTCTAAAGCTACTAAATCCACCCCTTTTGCCCGCAGAGTATCTGTCACGTCGGTCACCTCGGGAACGACCTATTAAAGAGACAAGACAGTTAGACATAGTTAGATATAAGAGTGATAAAGACTGCATTTTATATACCACCTGCTGAGTTCGACTAGAGAACATTCTTTTCCTTTGTGCCCCAGCAAGTCAAGTCTACTGAATGGTTTTCCAGTTTCTAACTGGACTCAATGGGCACACAGAATTACATCAAGGCAAGCTGGACTCCTTTAACTAAGGCAGAGACACACGCTCTCCCCCGTAACATGAGCAGTGGCATGAAGGAAAGTTGTTTGGGTCTCACCAACAGGACAGTTACATCCAGCATCTCTTAACTGTAAGAGGAACCTAAACAGCTGAGCCCTGTGAAGTCTTTTAAGACAGAACAAATGAGCCTGAAGCCCATCTGTGGCAATCAGCAGCTACAGCTCACAACAAGATGCTCTACAGCACAACATTGTGGGGGCAGCTTTTGCTCACATTACTGGCCTTAACACCTTTTGAGGTCACCATAACTGCCAAATAAGCTACCATCCATATCCATTTTTGGGAGGCTGGAGATTTCAAGTTTGTTCAGAGAGCAAAGCTATGCATTGTTAACAGTAGCACTTACCTGAACCTCTGTCTTCAATCAACTGAAGCAATTTAGGGTTGATGGCTTGATTAGCCTCCCGAAGCACAGAGATGAGGTCATTTACTTGCTTAATATTGTTAGGAGTAAAGAATGTATATGCTGTGCCTGTTTTGGTACTGCGGGCAGTTCGTCCAATTCGGTGGATATAGTCCTCTGAGGAGTTAGGGTAGTCATAATTGATGACAAATTTCACATCTTCCACATCTGTAAAGTGTTGCAGTGTGGCAAAAAGCGAGGTACAAAGTTTTGCACACCACAACAGCCAAATCGAAGATAAACGTTAGACAATAGTACTTTCAATGAAATAATGGCTGCAAAGAACAGTGTTAGAATTATCCATTTCTGCATGAATATTGTGGAAGAAGAAGATATGCACACTCCATCTGTTCCCGTCTTATCACCCACCCTGTGATCCAAAACCTTACCATAAAGGAGTATGCATTTGCTTGTCAATCACAACTCAAGAGTCCCCTTTACAAATCATCAAGTGACATCTGAATGCTTCTTGCAGTAGGGCCACTAAAGCTCACAGCAGCCTCTTCATGTGCTCATTTGAGGACCTTAGAGTAAAAACATACAAGGTCCTTGACATACACACTCATTAGAAGCTCAAAAAAAAGGGCCACACTGCTCGTCTTGCCAAGACCTTTGAACTGCAGCTGCAAGAAAAACATACCTGTCCCCCAAAAGTCACCAAGTTGTTTTTATGCACTGTCTCGTCTAGGCAAGCACTTCCAAGAAGCCAGCGTTCACTTGAGAATGTGTCTCTCTCTGGCAGGTCTCGACATGACGACTACATATAGGTGGAGGAACTTCGACTTTCAAAGGCATTTAGAAAAGCCAATGCTTTCCTGCCCCACTTGCTAAAGTGAGAGGTGGACTTTTTCTCAGATTTCATGTGCCAGTACTCACCAATTTGTACAAGGCTTAGTACGTTTTAAAGCTGCTCTCTCCATTTCATGGTTGGAAAAAAAATTTCATTGAACATTGAAGTTTGTAATTATTTTCCTCAACATTTCAAACTCACCGAAATTCAAAGACCCACAGATCACAGCAGACAGTATGCACAAAACTAACAGTACTGCACCATGGCAAAATCATGCAAAGCATGGAGAGAAGAGAAATACCAGGGCAAAGTGAACTGTGAATGAGGCTGCTTATTTCATGAGAGAACAGTTTATGGGGGAGTAGTTTAAAGGATGATCTTTGCCTTTTGAAGATTACTGGCACACAATGCTCTCAGTTTTCACCTCTCTATTTGACTGGAAGCAGCCAGCCGATCACTTCCACTAGTCCTCCATCCCCCTCGAGTCCTCCGACTGTCATGCCTAGGCCTTGCCACAAAGACTGCACCTTTATGTGAAGAAAACTTAGAAAAATGCAGAGGTTAAAGAAAGCAATAGACTTTCTTTAAATAACTTTGGGCAACTGGCATTACGAGTTGTACTAACCTAGA